TTCTCTAGTTATAATCATCAGTAGATAGTCCAACCTATAAAACAATACAATAAACATCTATATCTTTCTCTAGTTTATAATCATCAGTAGATAGTCCAACCTATAAAACAATACAATAAACATCTATCTCTTTCTCTAGTTTATAATCATCAGTAGATAGTCCAACCTATAAAACAATAAACATCTATCTCTTTCTCTAGTTGATAATCATCAGTAGATAGTCCAACCTATAAAACAATACAATAAACATCTATCTCTTTCTCTAGTTTATAATAATCAGTAGATAGTCCAACCTATAAAACAATAAACATCTATCTCTTTTCTAGTTTATAATCATCAGTAGATAGTCCAACCTATAAAACAGTACAATAAACATCTATCTCTTTCTCTAGTTTATAATCATCAGTAGATAGTCCAACCTATAAAACAATAAACATCTATCTCTTTCTCTAGTTTATAATCATCAGTAGATAGTCCAACCTATAAAACAATACAATAAACATCTATCTCTTTCTCTAGTTTATAATCATCAGTAGATAGTCCAACCTATAAAACAATACAATAAACATCTATCTCTTTCTCTAGTTTATAATCATCAGTAGATAGTCCAACCTATAAAACAATAAACATCTATCTCTTTCTCTAGTTGATAATCATCAGTAGATAGTCCAACCTATAAAACAATACAATAAACATCTATCTCTTTCTCTAGTTTATAATAATCAGTAGATAGTCCAACCTATAAAACAATAAACATCTATCTCTTTTCTAGTTTATAATCATCAGTAGATAGTCCAACCTATAAAACAGTACAATAAACATCTATCTCTTTCTCTAGTTTATAATCATCAGTAGATAGTCCAACCTATAAAACAATAAACATCTATCTCTTTCTCTAGTTTATAATCATCAGTAGATAGTCCAACCTATAAAACAGTACAATAAACATCTATATCTTTCTCTAGTTTATAATCATCAGTAGATAGTCCAACCTATAAAACAATACAATAATCATCTATCTCTTTCTCTAGTTTATAATCATCAGTAGATAGTCCAACCTATAAAACAAAAAACATCTATCTCTTTCTCTAGTTTATAATCATCAGTAGATAGTCCAACCTATAAAACAGTACAATAAACATCTATCTCTTTCTCTAGTTTATAATCATCAGTAGATAGTCCAACCTATAAAACAAAAAACATCTATCTCTTTCTCTAGTTTATAATCTTCAGTAGATAGTCCAACCTATAAAACAATAAACATCTATCTCTTTCTCTAGTTTATAATCATCAGAAGATAGTCCGACCTATAAAATAATACAATAAACATCTATCTCTTTCTCTAGTTTATAATCATCAGTAGATAGTCCAACCTTTAAAACAATACAATAAACATCTATCTCTTTCTCTAGTTTATAATCATCAGTAGATAGTCCAATCTATAAAACAGTACAATAATCATCTATATCTTTCTCTAGTTTATAATCATCAGTAGATAGTCAACCCTTTAAAACAAAATTTTTTTAAACATCTATTAATATCTCTAGTATATAATCGTCAGTAGATAGTCTTAAGTAAGGTTTGGCTATCCGACTTTAACTTACCATAACCGATGTAGACTGATAGCTGTTAGAATCAAATCGCCAGTGAATACCAAGTGACTGTTGTAGTGAAAGACAATATTGTGATAGTTGATATTGGGTTGTGGTCTGTGGTAAAAGAGTTATCTGTCCACTACTAGTAATAAGTTCATTAGAATCAATGAGTTGAACACCATCAGTTGTTACTGTTACTTGTAGACCAACTTTATTATAACATCTAATAGTAGAATAAACTTTTGTAGGTTCTCTGTCAGTATATTCTTTACTAGCTTTATTCTCGTCTTTCTGTATTCTAGTAAACTTCTGTATATCATATCCTCCTCTCACAGACCCTAAAATATTAACACATCTGCGATGATTCAGTTTGGAAAACTCATCAGTCTACTCAACATTAGTAATCAAAAGCTTACGCTATTTCCCCTTTCCTGTATGGACAAAGAATGGAATCAATCTAAATGTAAGAACAAAACTTAAACACTTGAGATGTTATGCTTACCTATAGCCCAGAGACAATAGTCAATACCAGATTCTGGATCTTCTATTTTCCAATTAACAGCAATTACATTACTAGTCTGGTAATCTACTTCTTGACCTGTACGGCAAATATATATGAATATTATTGACAAGAGGGGATGCTAAAAAATAATCAGTATAACATCACGTACCTGTAGCGTCATGTATATAATTAACAACAGGACGTGTGGTGTCCACTATAATATAATCAGTATAACGTCACGTACCTGTACCGTCATATATATAAATAGCAACAGGAGGTGTAGTGTCTACTAAAATATAATTAGTATAACGTCACGTACCTGTACCGTCAGGTATATAAATAACAACAGGAGGTGTAGTGTCTACTAAAATATAATTAGTATAACGTCACGTACCTGTACCGTCACATATATAACTAACAACAGGAGGTGTACTGTCTACTATAATATAATGTAACGTCACGTACCTGTACTGTCATGTATATAAATAACAACAAGGGGTGTAGTGTTTACTATAATATAATCAGTAACGTCACGTACCTGTACCGTCATGTATTTAAATAACAACAAGGGGTGTAGTGTCTTCTATAATATAATCAGTATAACGTCACGTACCTGTACCGTCATGTATATCAATAACAACAGGAGGTGTAGCGTCTACTATAATATAATCAGTATAACGTCACGCACCTGTACCGTCATGTATATAAATAACAACAGGAGGTGTAGTGTGTACTATAATATAATCAGTAAAGTCACGTACGTGTACCGTCATGTATATAAATAACAACAGGAGATGTAGTGTGTACTATAATATAATCAGTATAACGTCACGCACCTGTACCGTCATGTATATAATTAACAACAGGAGGTGTAGTGTCTACTATAATATAATCAGTATAACGTCACGCACCTGTACCGTCATGTATATAATTAACAACAGGAGGTGTAGTGTCTACTATAATATAATCAGTATAACGTCACGCACCTGTACCGTCATGTATATAAATAACAACAGGAGGTGTAGTGTGTACTATAATATAATCAGTAAAGTCACGTACCTATACTGTCATGTATATAAATAACAACAGGAGGTGTAGTGTGTACTATAATATAATCAGTAAAGTCACGTACCTGTACCGTCATGTATATAAATAACAACAGGAGGTGTAGTGTCCACTATAATAAAATCAGTATAACTTCACGTACCTGTACCGTCATGCATATAAATAACAACAGGAGGTGTGGTGTCCACTATAATATAATCAGTATAACGTCACGTACCTGTACCGTCATGTATATAATTAACAACAGGAGGTGTGGTGTCCACTATAATATAATCAGTAAAGTCACGTACCTGTACCGTCATGTATATAAATAACAACAGGAGGTGTAGTGTCTACTATAATATAATCAGTATAACGTCACGTACCTGTACCGTCATGTATATAAATAACAACGGGAGGTGTAGTGTCTACTATAATATAATCAGTATAACGTCACGTACCTGTACCGTCATGTATATAAATAACAACGGGAGGTGTAGTGTCTACTATAATATAATCAGTATAACGTCACGTACCTGTACCGTCATGTATATAAATAACAACAGGAGGTGTAGTGTCTACTATAATATAATCAGTATAACTTCACGTACCTGTACCGTCAGGTATATAAATAACAACGGGAGGTGTAATGTCTACTATAATATAATCAGTATAACTTCACGTACCTGTACCGTCATGCATATAAATAACAACAGGAGGTGTAGTGTCTACTAATATAAAGTCGCTATAAGATAAAGTTATTAGACCAGCACCATTTCGAGCTTTAACAGTGAAATATAGCCGAGCGTTATGAACCAAAGGCAGATTAGAAACAGTCACATGGTTTCTTTCACCAGTTGTTGTAAATTCCCTGATTCGAGTTCCACCTTTCACTGAACCTAAAGTAGAGAATTTCTAAATGAGTTTTGTCAATTTTTGATAATCTGTATTTAACATTTTTAATTAATTGTCGCTCATCATATAAATAAGGAATTTCGTTATCTTTTGGTCATCATAGTAGCAGGTATAAATTTGCTAATTCTAGAAACTCAAGTAATGCGTTGTAGTGTTACGCCCTCTTCTCTCTTATGGTGATTGAACAAAGAAGAGTAATGAACATGTGACTCTTAAAATGACTTACCTAGAGCCCACTGATACTCCACAATAGAACTTTCACCATCTTTAAAATACCAGTTAAAATGTAAGGAAGACCAGTGAGGTGTAAAAGTAGGGTGATATACTATATGATTATTGTTGGTATCTTTCAATGATACATGATTTATTTTTCTGAGTTCTAGATCATCTATAGCCAATATCATATTATTTCTAGTTGTACCAATTACTAATTTCTCTCGTGTATTTATTGGTTGATAAATATAGGTGAATTTATACCAATGAATCACATTGACAAGTTGAGAACAATCACCCTGACAGAGATCTGGATTCAGTTTAAAACTGTTTATTTCATGTCCTAATCTAATAAAACCTTCTACCTTATGATGTGATAGTAAGATATCATGTGGATAACCAACATGTACAGTAAGCTGATAAGAACAATCTGTATCTAGATATTGAATGGTTTGTTGAATCTGATCTGTTATTGTGATATAAACTTCACCATCATGAGCTGTTGAATGTTGAGATGATCGGGTGTTAACACAAGATATTGAATCTGTATACCAATGTTCTGGGATGTTAGAATTACAAGAAGTTGTTGTGTCATCAGATATTGATTCAAATGAGGGATTAAGGATTAGATTCTCTCCAATAAATTCCAGGTAACTTGGTTCAGGTGGTGAAGTATCAATAATAATCCCATTAGAGACAGCAACTTGTGATTGTAAACCACTACCGTCTACAGCATACACTTTATGGTAGATCTTATCTCCTGTAACATACAAATGGTGGAGTTACGTTTTAAGCTTAAGACAACAATAACACAAGGGGAATATTAAATCAACAAAATAAAACTTCATATTTCTGTTATCACCAAAGAAACTTCTGGAGAAGATGACTGAATCCTTTTTGGACAAAATATTCTTATAAAATTTCCCTTGGAGGCAATGTATGTGCAAAATTAAATTCATTTTGATTTACCTGAATATATTTTCATAAGTGATTTGCCACCGGTTTTTATTTTCAAACCGACATTAGTCCATGGTAATATATCACAAGTAGTGGGGTCATTCTGTCTACCAACACACCAGTAATAATTCACAACACCAGATCCTATATCAGAGAAACCATACCACGAGGCAGCAAGCAAGCCTTCAGATGACTGGTATTCAGAGTCGTGTGGGCCTTGAATAAAACAAAAATAAAAAGTGGACTAAGGTTCAATAAAATCGGTAACGCTTTATGTATTAGGCTTTACAGAAATCTAATAGCCCTTATCTATATTCAATGATAGCCTTAAGTGATACCATTTGAAGGTGGTAAACTATCTACTCTAAGAACACCACATGCACTTACCTAATCCATCATGTATGATACCAGTTGAAGGTGGTGTAGAATCAATTATGATGCCATCACTGATGCTCCAGCTACAAAACCCAGCTTTGTTAAAGGCTAAAACTGTACTGTAATATATCTGATTTTCTTGTAACTTTAATCCAGATATACTGAATGATTTCTGCTGTGGAGATACTTTTGTGTCGCTCCTATAGATATTGTGACCTGTAATAACATACCACTTGGTCTATCATTTTAATGTTGATAGAAAGGCAAATAACAGGATAGAAGTTGCCTATTTTCATTTATATCTGGTATTTATATCTGGTATTTATATCTGGTATTTATATCTGGTATTTATATCGTATTTGTTTCTGATAATTTGAAGTAGTTTGAAATATTTTTTTTAAAGTAAATATGTTTTAACCAATACTAAAAACAAAAGAGTAAATAATTTATAAACAAACAACCTTTTATACCTTGTGGATGTGTACTGATATAAACCTGGTAATAATCTATACCATGAATTCCACCATTAAATTTATCTTTCCAACCAACAATTATTGTATTGTTGTTTATTTGGTAGTCAATATCTTTATTACTAGTAGTCTGTTCTAATTCTTTAACCTATTAAAATATATAACAATTTCTCGTAAAAATTCATTAAAAATTTAATTATTTATTATGATATTGTTATATGTATCAAAAAGAACATGCAAGTTTGCATACAAAATAAACATTATTTAGGGCTATGTTGAGTTTTTGGATGTTTACATGCGGGCCACAAGCTGACATTTGATGTACTTACTGCTAAATAAGTCAGAGTTGGAGGTTTAGAGATCACAGTGAGACCAGGTGATTTATAAACATAATATCTTTTATCATCATACCACGCCTTTACAAATACTGAATAGATCATGTTATCATTTAGAGTTTTATCTGAAACAGATATTAACCAGAACTGTAGACAGCTTCGAGCATAGCAAGACACATCATCGGCTTTCAGCATTCAACCCCCGCGCTTTGAAGCGTACAATTTGTGAACAAGAAATTAAAACTCTCAGGTATCTGGTAAATAAATCAAGTTCATAAATTGCACTCCAGAAAAACTCCTCAAAATTATCAAAGTGTAAAAAAACTAAGAAAAAAAAGGTTTTCTACAAAAAAAAATTGGCAAGGCCAATGTCCATTTGAGTACCTGTTTTTGTTTGTTTTTTTAAATGAATTAAAAATGGATTTTATTCTCAATTTTACCAAATTAATGATTTGGAATATCATTTTGAGCTACCATGTCACATATCGTTAGAAAGAGGATAAAGAGTATGTTCTGATTATGAAAAAATACATCGAAGTGGGAGAAAATTTAATATTTCAAATAATATTTTTGTGCCTTATTTCTCTGGGAGAAGGACCAACAGTACATTAAGAATCTGCAAAAAATCCCAATGTTTATTATAGAAGGTGGTACAGTCGTTTAAAGTTCCTAAAACGTCTAATCCAATTATCTACACTACAAATTTCAAGCTCATTGAAGGTCAAGGGCACGAGATATCAGAAATCACATTATGATTTTGCATTCCAGAATATCACTTTTTTATAGTTACTGTTTATCAATATTGTCACCATGTGGTTTACAATATGACTAATGGTGCCTATTATTAACAATCTGTTTCGACAAACCTTTAGGTAGTGTAACAATAGTACCCATATCTTGCCCAACATCAAACCAATGTCGTTCTGTAACTGAATCAAACACGCCACTGGGATGGTCTTCGTCAGACAGACCAATACTAACTTCGTACCTGAAAAACGTAAAGCCAATTCACCAGAAACAGAAATAATGCTTGAAACTTCAATTGATTATAATAGATATAGTATCTTTTATATTATACAATATTGGTATATGCATTTTCCTATAAATAGACACTTCATTCGATTGTATATAACATATTAAACGGTTTCTTTGGCATTTATTTCTACACTTAATAATATTTATGAAAGGAGTAGGCCATGCGTAATTAATATCATCAATATCGATACGATGTGTTTGGTGTTTGAGAACCTTGAATATGGCAGATATAAGCACCTCTTACAATAATTACATTATACCTGATAGGTTGAGATGTTGCATTGCTTAAAAGTCTCCATTTAGCAGATAGAAACATATTAGTTGGTGTATAATTAGTTTGAACCGTATCAGTTGATTGTAGATTAGTTACATCTATAACTTGAATTAGTTTTATATCGCTGTCTACAAAAATTAAGATATAAAGAAATCTGAAATATGTCTTGAATGATACAAAAATCTACAATATCTGTAAATGCAATCAACATGGTAGTAACCATACTTGAATTATAAATTGAAAGAATCTGGTGGCCTGGATCGATTGGAAGGATTTTTTTTCTGTTACTCATTGTTAATGATTCTTGTTCTCGTTGTATTTGTCGTGTAATAGTATTTCAGCTTAAAAGGACCACACAAACATTGACACTAGCCAAGGCTCCAAAGCTGAAAAACATAGACAGGATGAAAATATTTTTGTCATACCATTTGTTATGCAACCATCTGGTTTTGAACATGTTGTATCTTGTTCACTACAAACACAATGACCTTCACAGTTATATGGTCGACATCTTCTCACCAATGAACCATGATTGTTTGTTCTGAGATCAGTATGTATCAATTGAAATTCATTGTGAATTGGTTGACTCTTTAATCCTACCTATAATGGAGGATTATACACAACAAATATCTAGCTTTCTTGATAAATTTGGAGCTCAAGATTAAGGTTATTTTAAATTTTTACATTACAATCAATAATAATAGAGCAAAACGAGCATTGTAAGTAATATAACATCAGGTTTGAATTACTTTCGTGAATTATTTTCTTACCCTATTGATGGCTGCAATAGATAAGAAGACCGACGTTCCATGACTAAGATTTTCTGCTGTTTTAACTGTTTTAATCTGTACTTCTCCTTCATTTTCAAATAATCTACCATCTTCATGGAAATATTTCACAGCTTTACCATCCTATCATATACAATATCAAATGTATAGAGAAGCAACAAATAACTATATATAAGTTGTTGTTTCAAGTCATTCCCTGCCCAAATGAAAATTCATCTTTCCGACTGTTTTGTGGAAACAGTCAATCATAAGGAACATTATGTTTGACATAAAGTTTGCAATGAATTATTTGTTAGAATGTTTGAGACATTGATGTATTTAATTCAATTCTCAAAATGATTGGAAATATTGTATTAAACAACGTATGTCACAAATAGCTAATAAGAGGATAATGAGTATATTATGATTATGAAATCTGGCATTAATATGTGGGATGAAATCACACACCTTATTTAAATCAGTATAAAATGGTTTGGTACCAACAGATACAAGATAATACAGTATACCACTATGAAGATCGGAAAATCCCAGCCAAGCTATAGTCAATGATGTTGTGTTCCATTCGATCCATCTACCGGGATGTCTGATTATATTGGCAGCATGGTTCGATTCTATTGCGAAGGTTCCTGAAATCAAAATAAGATGTTTCCAACTGCGTTGCCATCAGGTATTCATTTTTCAAAATTTGGTTCATACGAGCATTCTTTATTCATATATACTTAATACTTACTTTGCAGTGTAAGTAATGTTTGACGTACCTCTAGTCGGAGGTGTTGTATCAACTAAAATATCATGCGATACAGAAGATGTACACAATCCCGCTAAATTACAGCCAATAACCTTCACATTGTATTTACTACCATCATGTAGAGATAAACCACTAAATACATACTCTGTAAGAACACTTGGTATCTGTAATAAATTCAATTTATCTTGAAACATTCGTACTTCATTTACACATATTTTTAGAACTATTAGAACATTCGATCTTTATCTAAAATATAAATACAATACCTCTATCATTGAAGAATTGAAATCACCATGTAAATGTTGTGAAAGTGACATATACTGATGTTCAATATCTGATTCTACATCAGTAAATTCCCATTCTACTTTAAATCCTGTTCTACATATTATTGCTGATGGTAAAATGGAAGCGAATGTGGATGATAAAGTTAGTTGTTTCGTGACAGTTGGTGGTGTAGTATCTATTATAAATCCATCAGATGTTGATTCACTGCTTAAACCTGAAATTATCAACCACATTATATACAGTTTTATGCTTTTAATACCGAAATGTGATCATTGGCTTAACTACCATATGAACTTCAACCAAATCAACCGACCCCAAACCTCAAAATTAAACAAATATATAAATGAGTTACATAACATTAATTACAGACTGTAAATCTTTAAATCGTCCGTTAACAGGCATTACATTGATTTACAATGGGGTCTAAGAATGCTTGAGAGCATATCCACTTACGTTCACGGGCCCCAACTCATCTAGATTAGCCACTACATGCGATGAAAAATGAGGTATGTTATGTTGAGGTTTAATGAAAACTAAGTACAGTACCTGCTTTATTATAAGCTGTGACAGTGATATAGAGCGGTATATCAACAGGTAAATGTTGTAGAAGAGGAAGATTAGATCTGTAGATAATTTCTAGTACAGGTAAACTTTCTGGTTTCAATATCTCACTACCACCTTTACTAGTACCAACTCTCCATTCATATTTCTCTATAGAACTTTCACTATCTTTAAACCCATACCATTTACCGCCAATAAATGTTCTTTGAAAAAAAAACATTAACATCATTATAAAAAAATAAATAATGATAAAAAAATAGTCTTGTCATATCAATTTCAAAATATATTTCAAAATTTTTGAAATGGTGCCCAGATTGGTACAGCTGTCAGGTGAGCATGACCTGCATAATAAGCGACATCCGCCATAGTGTTTATCAAATATGAGCTGAAATTCAATAATATCTTTGGGCGTGGCAAATTAATTTTATTTTGCAATAAATTTTAACACTTATAATCATAAGAAAAACCAACCTTGAAGCCTGGAAATCAATATCAGCATCTCTAGTTCCATCTATCACGTGACCTCGAATTGGAGGTGTTACGTCAATAATAAAACCATCAGAAGATATTGAAGAACAAAGTTCTGCCATATTACATCCTGTTACCATGGTAAAATATTTTATACCGGATATAAATCTGATGTTAGTGAAAGTAAAATCTAAAATGAAAAATTTATACGAATAAAGAATAGTTTGGTTTCCTCAATGTAGTATATGTGCCCAATTTACTTTTTTTGATCCCCAGCAAGATGAAATATAACCATCACTATACTTACTATGCCGGGTTCGAGTTTCTGTTTGTGGTAGAACATCATCACATCCAGGACAAGTTCCTATTTGAACAGTATAATGTTTAATAGAAGAATGGGGATCATGGAATCTTTCCCATCTAACAGAAGGTGGTAGAGTATTAGAGATATAATCAGTATCCGCTATGTTGTTATCACCAGAAATACCATCAAATACTAATCCTGTTATTGGTGGTGTTGTATCCACTATTAATGGTCGTGATATCAATATGGTAGACATTCCAACTGAATTAATGGCCTATAAAAATCCAAGTTCAATATCAATTGTTCTTACATGCTCATTAAAAAGTACGTAGAAACAACAAAAAGATATGAACATGTAATTTTTAAACACTAGTTATTTCAATCATTATCAGTTAAATTTATACCTGGACATTGATATAATAAGTAAAACCATCCTGTAATTTAACATCCAGTGTCGCTTCATCGCAATCTTCATCTATTTCTCTGGTTTCTAATATGTCTGTGGTACTTCTTCTACTACCTACTGACCATTTATAGAATTTAATACCACTTTCACTATCTTTAAAACTTCCCTTCCAACTATAAATAAATCACACAATAATTTTATAATTACAAACCACTGTCCGTTGAAAACTTGATCACATTTCCTATATTGAATATTTTCCTTCTAACAATAATCAAATCATGCAATATTTTTACAATAATGAATTAATTGTAATATTTACCAAGCTGATATTGAATCTAAAGATGTGAGATATGGTGAAGATGTCTGTATTCTGTTTAGAAGTATTTCTGGAGCTGTATAATCAATAATTATTCCATCACTGACTACTGTTTTATTTCTATTGACAAAATCAACAGCTATAATACAACATAATTTATATTAGGAAAACTGTAACACCACGCTGCACCACTGGATTAAAATGTATTATCAAAATGTTGCTTTGGATTTCGTGTTTCGGTTTGCCGTTCGGGTCGTTAGTATTTGGTTTATTTGTGACTGTGGCTGTTGCTATTCTTTTTTTAAACTAACCATATCTTTTAATGTACCTAGTAGGAATTATATTTCATGCACATTTCATGTTCATTATATAAAGACAGATAATTCGACATCATGCGCACTATCAAACCTGCTATTCATACCTGTGACTGTAGCGAAGTATTGGTGACCATTCTGTAGGGTTAAGTTATGGAAAACCTGGTGATTTATAAGACCAACGGTAACAGGTGATAACACATCAGACAAATACCTCAAGGAGCCTACAACAGAATAAATTACTGACTGCAATGGTTAATTCATTTTTACGATTATTTTATTAGATTATTTTTTAATCAATTTTATAGTCTTCTTACATTAATAATTATCAATCAACGGTTGTTCAGAATTTAAAATTATTGAAAATCACAAATACACACGAACACACACTAACACGGAAAAGCGTATATACTAACACGGTTGAATGAAGTGTTTACGAAAGACAAAAATGTTGCCTACCTATTTTTATGGTATAATGTGATACTCCACTAGGGTGTACAGCTCCTCCTTCATCTTCTACATCAATAAACGAATCCCAAAATACAGTCAAACTATTACTAGACACCTAAATGAATTAAAATAGAATTTGGACATCAATATAATATTTTGTTGCTTTGCTGTGAATCTTAATTCGTTATGCAAACCAGCACCTCGTTAAAAGCAAAGATTTGCAAAGATTTTAGAAACAATTGTAAATCAGGACAGAAATTAAAGTCAGGAGATAAGCAATCGTTAGATTTTTTTTTCTAATTTTTAACTAATAACAATTTGTATAATGTCTTGATCTAAAGTTTTGGTTTTGGCAGTTAGTTTTCACTTTTCAACCTAGAATTAGTTCTCAAAATTACTATGTTGATTCATTGTAAATAGCATGTTTATAAAAAATGTCTATCTCATCTTTTGTTTCGTGTAAGAATGACATGAATATGATGATTTCACGTACAAATGGATATTGGCAATTAAGTCTATTCCGAGAGTCGTTCATGCTGATTGTTTTGCATTTGCTCTTAACGAAATCAAATTCAAGCACACGTGGGTCAACATAAGCCTTTCAATCATTATTTTCTTCTGTTTTTATAGTATAATAATAAATGAGGTAACAAGCCAGGGAATATCTTATTAATGTAAGTTTAAAATTGGAGTCGTAGAGTAATACCTGATAGTTAGTATTAGTATCTGTTTGTATCCAGACTCGACCTCCACTAGGGGGGGATAAATCAATTGTTATTCCATCACTACAACTATTAATTTCTTCTAGATCTTCATCCCATTTCTCATGTTGTAGTGCTGTAGAATCAGCATGGAGACACACATGATATCTTCTACCATGTTTTAATAGTTGTGGTGGTTTTATATTTATATATTCTTTATCTAGAATCATGACAAACAGATAGTCAAATATTTGTATTTTGGACCAAAGTTTTGCAAATTCAAAATATTTATCATATTTCCAAAACACTACACTACAGTCTTTTTGAAGGTTTTAACCACAACAGTAAGTTAAAACCATGGTAATCCAAAATCTGATAGGTCCATGACTATTCTTTAATTGGGTTAAAAGGTTACTTAAAGGCATTTCTGATAATACCAAGGGATCCAATATGTATATCTACCTGATTGTCCACATATGATAGTAGAAGGATGAGAACAAGGATCTGGTATAATGATATCAGGATTACTGTATAAAGTTGACGTGGGTTGTAATGGACCCTCTAATAATCCCCACGTATAGTTTCTATGTCTCAATGTCGGCCATACAGCAGATATTATATCATTATAGGGAGTATAGTCCACATCCGGTTCGTTCCATCTGGCATTCTGCTCAAGTTTGATTCCACTTCTGTTCTCTGAAAATGTAACAATTGTAGTACGTATTATGACTGAATATCGATAGCATTCAGTGCTTCAGTAAAGAGGAGGAGGAAAAGGGGGGGGGGGGGGGGTGATGGAAGGAGGAGGGTGGAGAACAGGAGGAAGAAGGAGGATGGGAGGATGCTGAAATGAGGATGATTTACTTTGTCTTACAGCATCTAGAACTATAGCTGGTCGTATCAATATTGGATCTACAGCTGAACAATTCTGAATCTGTTTAGAGATCAAGGTTGATAATCCTGCCTTATTAAATAGTCGTAGAGCCAATCTTCTACATTTATTAGAGTTTATTTTACCATCTGATAGTAGCTTTAATTTGATCTGTAAATAAAATATCAAAATTAGTTAACGTTTTATATTATTATCGTATACTTGGCAAAAACAATAATAACTCACAAGGAAACTAAGGCCAAAACACCTTTTAGCAATATGCCATCATTAAATGGAATTGGAAGAAATTAAAGCAAATTAGTACCTTGTTATCGTTATATACAATCTTCTCAACATTTTTCCATAATGTATACAGCCGTCCATTGTGATCATCTGTTATACTCCACTCTAATCTTTTAATTACATTATTACAAGATTCACTGGTTTGTGTAAACTTTAATATAACATCCAGCTTTCAAAATGAAAAAGGTAAAATAGAACAAATATAAGGAGTATCAATCAAATAGTCACCAAGAGCAAATTGGCGACATATTGAGTGTTTGGAAACGAAAAATTTTGTGTTTTCAAACTACTAATTTTAAGGCTTGTAAACCATAGAATCAACAAATGTAACTTTTATATGCATGTATTGATAATGAGTTCAACACAATACAACATATATATCAATACCTCCTGATCTGTTATCATTAAAATATCTAATTTAGGTTTTTCAGGTGTTTCTAGGATCGTCACACCTTCCGAAAAAACTGATTGGGAACAAACATTATCAATACAAAATTGTAATTCACTTCTATAGGATTCACAAACTTCTAAACGATATGGTAGTGTCAGCATTCTATCTCTTGTGTATAGTTCTTTTTCGTATTCTTTCAGCCATATATCTGGAAAAAAAATTGAATACTTTTTCTCTATGACATACTTGCCCAGCTAATAGAACTCTTTTCCAATAATTGGAATTATTAATTATTATCCATTTAGTACACTTTTTTACAATTACAAATTCGGATTCCGTTTTCCATCCTACAAGTTAATACAAACGTACTGCATAAACAAAGAATGCAAGGGGGTTCAACTAAATAATTAACAAAAAACGTCAAGGTATGGATTATACCTGCAATAATAAATTCTAAGCTTGGTTGCTTTAAAAATGCGAAAAAAAGTTTAAATATATTGATGTTACCTGTATTTTGATGTTGTTTTTGTAAAGACCATTTAATATGGGGATATATATTATAATATGTATTAGAAATATTCCACTTTATACTGTAACTAGAACTAGATGGTTGATAACCAGGTTCACCACAATAGATGATCTAAAACATAGAATAAGAAACGCTAGAATGACTTATTTCGTCATTTTGGGGTAAATATTGTCAGTATCAACAATGTTGCGTTGTGTTGTAAGTTTTAGACATAATCAAGGAATATGACAAATATGACAAATAAAACTGCGAGTGTCACACATAATCAATAATATTCTACTGCTTGATTGAGCTCTGGATTTAATCTTTAAAAATCACTTACAGTAGAATTACGGTAAAGGTTGGCTTCCAGATCTGAAACAAAACAAATATATCTCACTAACTAATTTACATTTAACTCAACAGGCAGGTTTACATTAATTTATTAAACGGGGGACTTTGAATAAAAAAAAACCATACATATAAATCGTACATACTTAACAAACCTAGAGGCGAAACTGCGAGAGCCTTGGTTTCCAGAATTCACTGAAACTTTTGCGTATTAAAAACATCCTCAAAGTCAATATTCTTTCGAAAATCAAATATACATCTATAATTTGTTTCTGAAATTTGAAACCACAATCTTGCAATAACCTTCAAAATCCATTCTGCAAACTGTACACCAGATACTGGCAATATGTCGTTCAATTAAAATCACAGGATATTGAAACAGAAAGGAAATATTACCAGTTGGCTGAAAACAAGCAGCACCATCTTTTAATTCAACTTCATCAGTCAGATCTTCTGATCTCTGTACAACTGTTATTCCATCAGATGATGACGTCACACTACCAACACCAACTACTGTAGCAGTTACTGATACAATATACTTCTAGAAAGGTATTATGGCTTCAAAATTGGTCGATGAATCGTATATCTAGTCGCATGATAATTCGTTTCATATCACATCATCCGTTGCTAAATAGCATAAGAACTTAATTCTATCATGGTTACTACATACATAATTTAATAGAAATAAGATGAATGCAAACAAAAACCCATTCGTACTACCTGATGAAGCTGTAACTTGAGACCAATGAAGGTGTATTCAGTTTGTTGGCTGACATGAACAGATTGTATAAATTCACTGTCATTCTCTCTCTTTATTCCTACTTTATAATTAATACCTCTAGATATTTCTTCTTCAGATTCAAATCCATACCATCGTACACTAACCATACTAGTAGATAGTTGATAGTCACTATCTTCAAGTTCCTATAATTATAATATACTAGTTGATAGTCACTATCTTCAAGTTCCTATAATTATATTATACTACTAGATAGTTGACAGTCACTATCTTCAAGTTCCTTTAATTATATTATACTACTAGATAGTTGATAGTCACTATCTTCAAGTTCCTTTAATTATAATATACTAGTAGATAGTCACTATCTTCAAGTTGCTATAATCATAATATATTAGTAGATAGTTGATAGTCACTATCTTCAAGTTGCTTTAATTATAATATACTAGTAGATAGTTGATAGTCACTATCTTCAAGATCCTATAATTATAATACACTAGTAGATAGTGACTATCTTCAAGTTTCTATAATTATAATGATAAACTGAATCGTCTTATTCCATATAGTACGACGAGTAAAAGGCAGTTTCAAGACATTGGTTAATGAAAGCGAGAAGCCTAGTGCATGCTATGGCGTTATCCCGTCTTTCCCAGACGAATTGTAAAGCAATTATTTAACGCCTCATTAAAGAACGTGCCTGTCATATCTGTGACGGACAGAGAGCTGATGGACACAGGGTAAGGCTAAGGATAATTATATATGTTTCCCATAACTTGTGTCTTTATGCCATAAAAAGAGGAGGAGATTTGGTCGTATTAAGCTGGATGTTGTGATCATCAGCGATGCCCTTGTTTGAAGAAACGGTAATATAAGCTCTAGGTCACTCACTGATTCAATCCCATGACATTATTAATTTTTACACCAAAATCAATCGTTTACATAGGAATATAGCAAGATCAATGACTATTTTCATCCAGCAGTTTGTAGAAAGTAAAAGTAAATGCGGTTGGTCTCATTTCATTCTTACCAAAATATTGAAGTAGTCCATTTCACTGTTTAAACCAACATCAATTACCACACCTTTAGATGGTAATATTGATTTATATGTTAAAGATTCTGATGATATTACTGTATGAAGACCAACTGTATTTTCTATTTTAATAGATACATAGTATTTATACCCATGGTGTAGACTCCAGTCTAATTTCAGAATATCAAATACAGTACAGGTTGGTGGTAAGGCTTCAAGACAGGGTTCATTGAAGTTTAAATCTGAATACTTGATGATTTCCTGGCCGCCTTTTGTTCTACCTGAAATATATTCATTTAGAATTAGGAAAAAATAATAAAAATTCCAATTATGGCATCACAAGACAAGAATGCCAGTGACTAAAGGTGTCTTGCGATTGGCAAAAAGCAAATGCAACTGGATTTAAATACACTGCATGCCACTGGGAGAATTTGATTGTTGAATTTAGGTCATTTGAATGTACTGACGACTGATAAATCACAGTAGCTGTCAGCTACTTGGCGGTTAAATAAAAACAACAGAAATATCACGAACACAAATTTAATTTGAATGTTAATACATTATTAAGTTGGCATATATAGTGATACAGTATAGGCTGTACTCACTGGCACTTAGATTCAAACAAAGATTTGTAAAGACTTCAGAAATAATTTCAACACAGAACATAAATTACAGTAAGGAGATAAATAATCGTTTGATAGTTTTTCATTTTAAACTAATCATAATTAGTATAATGTCCTGATCTAAAACTTGGGTTTTGGCAGTTAGTTTTCGTCATTTCAATTGATATGTCAACCTCGAATTGGTGAAGATTTTCAAAATATCTGTGTCAAGTCACTGTTCAATAATCAATGTGCAGGATAATTTTATCTCACTTTTTTGTTTTAATGAAAGAATAACATAAAGATTGTGCTTTGACATAAAATTTGGATATTGGCAATTAAATCTGTTGTTAATGTATTCAATGATCCCAGTGGATCTTTCAAAAATGAAATCAGCTGTTTATATTAGTTTATATAAAAACAATATCAATGAATAACATGATAAACCAAATAATAAGTTAAAAATATTTTAGGGGTATTACGTGTGGTTTTATGAAGATCGAATTTTCTTTTGTTTTTGACTGTCCTTTTTTATAAATTGTTGTCATTTGCCAATAATAACAGGTTAAAAGAACATGCATGTAGAAAGCCATATATTACTTCACTCACCAATAGCTGCTGTATATCTCAGTTGACTGTGACCAGGATCTTTAACTACAGCATTGGACCAATTGGCTACCAACAGATTATTATTTAATACCACATCTATGTTACCAGTAAATTTAGGTTTAGAAGTATGAACTATCAGTGGTCCTAGGGTCTGAAAATTAAGCCAAGAATGAAAAGACGTGACGAAAAACAGGTATTGAACCAATATCTGGTTGTGCAGTATGGGGATATTTTTGCCATTATTTTAGACAGCTAATGATATAGCCTACATCATTTCAATATAGCTAAATTTGGAATCATCGATAATAGGCAGTAATACAGTGTACAAGAAATATGTTCTGAGCAAGGGTATACAATATATACTATGTGGTCGTATATATTTACTTGAATAATGTACTAACCTGAATAGTTTCTAGTCCAGCTTTATTCGTAGCTTTAATATGAATAAAGAATTCTGTACCATCAGTAAGTTGTGGATGATAACCACGGTACCATGTATGATGATTTGTAGAGTGAAATGGTAATAAATCAGGTATAGAATCTCTCTCTGATGATAAACCAAACTGATAATCATAAATACCAGATTCTACATCTATACCAGTCCAGTTTACATATATCTATAATGTATAAGGTTGAATGTTTGACTTTTTCGCTCATTTTCAATTCAATAAATCCATAGATATAATATTTTAACTATGTGAGAAATGTTAGGATGGTCTTGTTAAACATCGACTTGTATAGTCTAACAACTGTCGTTTGATTTAAGTTGATAGCATGATTTATTCATGAGAATACGAATTGAAGATGAATCTGTTAATAGTTAATAGATGGCAAGTGTAATAACCTGTAGAATAAAAAAAATAATGATATCTTCGCAATAATCTAATTAGAAGAAAACAATATAAAACGAAAACTTTAAATTCTTGATATTTATAATGCTTTTGAGTGGGTCAACTAGATGTTAATAACTTTGTAAATAGATTCAACAATATAATCAAATGACCTTGTATTTATCAACTTATAACTACAAAATATATTTACAAGTAGACCTACATGTGAATGTTCTACTAGGTATGATTGTGTTAGATATTGTATAGGTAATGTTTCTTCTTGACATAAATCTCTATCTTGTATTGTTTGATTGGGATATCTTTCTACTGGAAACAACGATATATCTTCTATTGGTCTTCCTTTTTGTCTGAAAATATTAAACACAATCAACTGTTCTTGTGAAAAAGCATCTAACATAAACTGTTAAAAGGATTACAGAAGAAGTTTGATTATGATTAGGATTTGCTACGTGGGAAATAAATGTAATTGGCGAAACTTACAGACAATCAGGATCTGGATTCTGTATTTGATGAATCTGTCTTCTATTATTGATATAATATAACTTTCTATCTTTTGATACTAATCCTGCTTCTATTCTAGCTTGATCTATAAATATTTCACGGACGATAGGTCGTGTTGAATCTATAACAACACCATCAGAACATACAGGTTGAGAGGGTTGTAGAGCTGCGTTATAGGCTACCACTGTGATATAATACTGTCCATCTGTAGGTGCTAACCAGGTAGCATGAGTTACTGATGTTTCATTGATTTCCTTTAATATAAAAGAACAGTAATTATTAATATCAAAGTCTTTACCATTTTACTTATATTTTTCTTTGCTTCATATCATCTCAAACGATTTCCTATTTCGTTACTGGTGTTTAATTTGGATGCAATTTCCAATACTTTTGGAAATGTCTTTATCAGATTTTCATTTGAAAGATCTAAATCCCATCTATCAGGCCTATCGGAAGACAAATCATACGGTAGGTCTAAAATTACAAAGTATATATATATATATATATATGTTTAGCTTTTGTTTTTTTAATAGATACTTTTGTTTTATTAGAATGGTATACTTGAAGGTAAAATCGTACTGGAGTGTTCTGGATTTCAAAATGAAAGTCTTCAGCAGTTAAACATCCAGTAGAAAAACCATAATGATAATATCTCACACCACTTTCTTTATCAAAAAATCCTTCCCAATGTGCCTGTAGATTTCTATCGGGTTGGTAATCCACTTCCGATTCACCATATCTACCATCATGTACAACACCAACATGTGGTGGACTTGTATCAATTGTAATCTGAAATAACATTATATTTCGTTAAAGAAAATATCTTCTTTTGCATTTGAATCAAATGTAATAAAGTCCATCTTTTCTGCACCCGATTGGGAAAATGAAGACAAAGTTTATTCACATAAGATCCCAAGGGTATAATAAACATCTTTCTTTGCTCTGTTATTAATCGCGTTATATTTTAAACCCAACCTACCTTTATTGTGAGAGTTGTATTTAATTTGGCATTATTCATAACATAAACTTCAATATAATAATCATAATCATGTACACCTTGATCTTTTCCTTGAATTAATCCAGTCCCTTTATCTAATGATACACCAGGTTTAACTTGAAAATGTTGATGATAACAACCAACAGCAGGTGTACAATAACAATCAGATCCTCGAGAATAATTCTGGTATTTCTCTTCACAATCTGTATGATTCTAAAATAAAACATTGTGGTTAATGACCTATATCCTTGACAGACATTGGCCTAAATAGAGAACAGAGGCACAATCAATGAGACAGAAGGTGACTTTTTTTAAAAGTAAGTCAAGGTTTTAATTAGGCTACAGTTAGAAGCTAGTCCTCTCATCAGTAAAATAGGTCAATGCATATCTTTTTAAATACTAAATGTTGACCTAGATATAAAGTAGGTCAGGGTATATAATCGAATAGAATCGAATATAACTGGATGACCTGTTTATCGAAATAGGTCAGGTAATATAGTACATTTAAAACTAGTAGGTGGTCTCTTTATAAAGTAGGTCAAGGTATATACCACAGTTTAAAGCAGAGCCAAACAGATGTCACTTTTAGTAAGCGTATAGAATAGAGTAAGAAGTAAATATTAGTAGATGGCCTATTTATAAAGTAGGTCAAGGTATATAATTCAGTAAGAAATAAATACGAGAGGTGACCTATTTATTAAGTAGGTCAAGGTAAGAAACAAATATTAGCGGGTGACCTATTTATAATGTATGTCAATGTATATAATACAGTTGGAATCAAATATTAGTGGGTGACCTATTTATAAAGTAGGTCAAGGTATATAATACATTTGGAATCAAATATTAGGAGTGACCTATTTATAAAGTAGGTCAAGGTATATTATACAGTTAGAATCAAATATTAGTTGACCTATTTATAAAGTAGGTCAATGTATATAATACAGTTAGAATCAAACATTACGAGGTGACCTATTTATAGAGTAGGTCAAGGTATATAATACAGTGAGTAGAAAATAATATTAAAAAGTGACATATTTATAAAGCATGTTAAGGTCAAAGTGGTTGACCTATTTAAAAAGCAAGTCATGGTATATGATACAGTTGGAAGTAAATACAAAGAAGTGACCTAATTCTAAAGTAGGTAAAGGTGTGTCAAATATCTTACCTGTGCTTTCCCTTGTTCTGGTATATGTTGTGAACCATGTAATATAACATCAGCAGTAAAATTATCATAAAGTTTCCACACTACTGTTTCTAGTCCACTGTGAAGATCATAAGCTATCCATTCTATCCTGTTGTTAAGCAAAAATACATAACGAATATCTAACATAAAACTAATTGGAGTTCATCAATTTATGATTATGGTTTAGAAACTTATAATGATGTTGTAATCGCAAAAAATGGACGGAATACTTACACAAGTTTATTTAAATCTTGAAATTCATGGATAGATATATCTACTTTATCTCCTTTAGTTAACCATAGATCTTTTACAACAGGTGGAGAAGTATCAAAATAAAGCGAGATGATTTCTTCCAGGTAGAAATCTACTATATCATAAGCTCTTATATAAAATTTAACAGTGTCGCCATCTTGTAATGTAGGAGAAATTGTAATAGATTGGTTCAGGTTACCAGTAGTAGTAAAATCAGTATCTGTTGGTTGAATGGTAGATCCTCCTTGTACATCTATCCCATAATATGTTTTATAAAGCACTATACCTATAAATAGATTAGTTATATATTATAATAATAATACATATTATAATGCATAATTCTATAAATAAATAAATTCCAACATCTTTCTATATGATATTTGTCTTGTTTCTGCAGTTCCATGTCTCGTAGTTTCCATTAGAAATGATAATGATTATACCAACGTGTAAAAGGAGTCAAAAACGCAATATCCTTTAAATTACCTAAAATATTGTCAGCTTGTACCACTGTTCTGGAACCATTATGAACGTGATATACAAGATGTTACCGCAAATGTCACCAGTCATTCATTTCATATTTAGGACAACATGCAACATACCTAGAACATTATCCACTGGTTCAACTGTTCTGGTGCCATTATTATCATCATATTCACTAGACACGTCGTGATACTGTTCAACCCCAGCTAGATATTTACCATTATGATGTTTAGTATTAATATATCTATTTTCCCAGTCAATAGTAACAGGACCATGATTTTGTTGCCAGACATAGTTAGTAGAAGGTAGGGCTGTTGTAGCTAGAAATTGACTGTTATGAGTAGTTGTAATATTGGACGAGTCGTCAAATATTAATATTCTTCTTGCTGTTTGTGTATTGCCTGCCTTGTCTTTAGTAGTAAATATAATAGCATAGGCGCTTGGTGTAGTAAGATAAAATGTCAAATTTTTCTGAAATGATAGAGAGCATAACTGTGAAAGAAACAACTGGTATTACAGAATGGTAGCATTACTTCGTCTTATACCTTGAATGTAATTACTTGCATCACATAATTTGTAAATGCATCGATTTGATTGGATTGAATGTCAACCTATACAGCCAATCATTGCCCCCGATTGTGCGCAGAGCCAAACTTGTTTTAAGTCTTTCTGTCGAACTCTCTGTTTGGTTGTATTCACTAGCGTATAATCCAATCCAATCGCTGCATTTACGAATTTCTGAAACCACCCCAATGGTGGCCATTGCAGTCAAGGTATTAGACACAGTTCTTGTAAAGACAGAATGTAATCTTTGATATATAAGAATTTTTCATAGTGATTAATTTAATTTCATATTCTTACTAACTATCGTATCGTTACTTACTGAGGTTGTATAGTGATTCTGGACACTTTCACCAATCACTAGAACATCACCTGCTGGTTTTAAACTGAACACTTCAATCTCATAAACACCTATACCCCCATCATCATCCATCCAACCATCCCATGATAGAATATTCTCCGTCTTTTATACAAAATAATCATATTTAGAGTAAGCGTTCTACTATATATATCAAAACAATTTCTTGAGCATACACATTCTAACAAGACTACAAAAACAAAGGAATTGATTCCAGGGATGGTCGTAAGCGTCCAATTGTGCTGTACAGTCGAATAGGTGGCTACACAGTCTTACATTGAGTTCACCATCAAATACTGAAATTTCAGAAGCTTAACCCATTTGTGTTGAATATTGACCAAGGGGACATTTTTGTTCATAAAATGAAGAATGACCAGCAGAGTCGCAGGTCTTTTGATGTCTTTTAAAAAGACAAATAACGAGCAGGTATTGATTAGAAATATATTCAAACAGAATCTCAAAAACATTTTGTTGCTACTCGGAGCTATGGTTATACAAAAGTAGGCATCGGCTTGCTGAAAGTCTGTACATCTTGATATATCGCATCAAACTAGCTAGCAGATTGTGACAGTAGCAGCCAGCAACCAATGGTCTTAAGAAATATGCCACCGGTTTTGTATTGTTGAGCCTCAATTTTTCTCATTGTGATTTTATTAATGAATAGTTTTATTGATGAATAGTTACCTGTTGGGACCCGTCTATATCAGATAACATGGTTTGATTACAATCTAATACAGGTTGACAGTGGTAGGGAGGTACATTATCAAATCGTATTTCATATACATGTTGTAAAGAACTACTTTCAAAATAATGAGTTTCATTACTCTCAGTTTCAAAATTAGTTAACTTGACAAATCCACCAACTACTAACGTGATGTTCACCTCTAACCTAAAGACAACAAAACTAAACTGTATCAGGTACATAAGGATCAATATTCCGATAATATAGAAACTTTTGACAAAGATGCTGGATGCATTTCTAAAAGTTGGTTTGAACGTTATAGGTTCTATCTCATGTGGTAAATCCTCAGTACACAGTTAAGGTGCATTTATACAGAGCGCGAACGCGAACGCGAACGCGAACGCGGTTTTTCGTCATGGAATGGTTTCATCATTTTATAGAGGGACCGTTCAAATAGAATGGCGGATTTCTTGCTATCAACCAATCAGCTTGTACCACCTCCCTTGCATCATTTCCTAAAAAAGAAACTTGTGCACATGGCTTTTCCAATTTGCTGTAGGGTACAAACAATGGATAAAACGGAAGTTTTGATTTTAGAAGTTGAAGAGAATCCAGTTTTGTTTGACAAAGCTGAAAAAACTTACAAAGAGACAGTAAAAAAGAAAGATATTTGGAAGGGAATCGGAGAGAAGGTTGGACTGAAGGTGTGTTATTAAAAAAAATTCAATTTATTTTGCCTGTTTCATCAATGGTATGGAACTTATAAAGAAAATAACATTGCACCAATTCATTAATTAATTAATTTTTAATTGACTGTTGTCACTTTGTTTAAAACGTCCTCTGCTGGCTTGGGTGCATGCCGTCGACGGTTTTCCGCGTTCGTGTTCGCGCTCTATTTGAATGACTGAACTGATGAAAAGTCGCGGTCGCGTTCGCGCCGGTCGCGTTCGCGTTCGCGCTCTGTATAAATGCACCTTTATACTACGAAACTTGTTGGGATAATGTATTTTTCTCTAAAAGGAAAAATTCCAACACTTACAAAATAGCTCGTGACAGAATTTCTAAATACATATGGATAAGCTTTACGATATGTTATCTCTGAATCGAGAAGGATATACTCCATTGGCGACAATTAGAGGTAGAGATCACATTAAATAATGGAACAAACTTTATGTGTTTAATTATAGATGTTATTCCACCAAATGATGTAAACAATGTAAATTGTTGAAACGTTGTCTGTAATGACCCACTGGAGTATACCATAACAATTATGTCTCAATATTCATTAAGATATGTGTATGATAATGTCATTTTGGTAGATGAATACCTACCTTTGTGTGTTTGAAAAAGAGATTTTATGGGTTGAATACCTACCAATCTTGGTGTAGGAACTCTTGAGAAAAATTTGTTTCTAAAAGTTTTGAACACGCAAATGTGGCTTGGTTTGGGTCATCTCTGCTGGTTGATGCCGGACAAATATCAGTTTGTGTTTCCGTTACATTAACTTGTTTCCAAACCCAAATTGAACATCTTATATCCGTGTCAGTTTTATTAACATCCGTTTGGTTCATTGACAAATCGGTTTCGTTCATTGACCAATCAGTTTCGCCCATTATCCAATCGGTTGCGTTTATTAACCAATTGGATACGTTTAATGACAAATCGGTTGAGTTTATTGACCAATCAGTTTTGTTCATCAACATATTACTAATTTCGTTTAACACAAACTCAGTACCGTTCATTCCCAGTGACTCACAGTAATAATCAGCATTATTAGTCAGATTGAAGGCACTTATATCCGTCAGATTCAAGGCACGGATATCCCAATTGTTATCATCAGCAAAATCAGTCAGATTCAAGGCACTGGCATTCGTAATGTTATCATTGTCTGTGAAGTTTCCTAGAAGACTGTCGATACTGATGACAACAGGAACCTCAACCCATTTCCATACAGTCCTTACTGAAAAACACAAATTAAACCAATATAACGCTGTAGACCAATGCCTCATTGCTCTTTATAACGCTGCCTGTATATGAGCATGTGAAACGTTGAGTGAAAGAAATATTATGTCAGAAATAGTATATCCATATATCTTGTGATTCTCAAACCAATACCTCTAGTTACTGTTTATGTTTCGTTTTTTTTTTCATTATTTCATTCTACAGGCGACAGGATTAAATCGAGGAACATGGAATATTAGAGCCCAGTGTCTTACTGAGCTATAGGGACTCAAACCTCCACAATCCGTGGTATTTTTTGTCATCTCTTTCTCTTACCCTTTTTTCGGTTTTTACATGGTCAAGATTTGGATAAAGATGAAATTTGAATAGTATAACAAAACACAAGACAATATTATGGAATATAACACACTTCTTTAATAAGGTTAGGCACATAATGTTTCAACACAATATAAACGTGTCGTCATCAGTCATCATCTGATCATCATCTATTGACGACACGTGTATATTGTGTTGAAACGTATATGTGCCTAACCTTATTTAAGAAGTGTGTTATATTCCATAATATTGTCTTGTGTTTTGTAATATAAGGCTCCTCGTTTCTATATGTCGTTCAAACATTTTGTTATTATAATTATATTTCATTTCTCACACAAATCATATCTGAATCTTTGTTTTTTGTCTTTTAATCTCGCGCTTTGTTCTTGAAAACTGAAAATGTCACATTCCTTTCATATTTGAAGAGATTTAAATACAAAAGAATAAATGTGAAAATAGTTCTTTCAATATTGGTGGATGTTTATATCCCACAGTGGTGTATTATCGCTAACTAAAACAATTCATGGTCATCATATCATTGTATAGGATTTCCGACCAGATACTAAGTATTGACCAGGCTTTCATGTAACATAAAAGAGTTTTCAACAAGATTTCAGGAAAAAAAGTTAGTGATTAACATTTGAAAGAGATAGCAAATTGAATTAGTTGTGTGAGTCGATAAATAATCGCATCAATATTCAGTTCCTTATAATCATAAAAACGATCGTTTCAAAGGACCAACGTCTTAGTACGTGTATGTACAATTCTTTCAATTGAATCTCCAAATCCACCTTCCCATTCTCAGCAGATACAAGGCATATTTCTTGTCGCCCGTGTAAACGTCAATACCTTTATCTAACGCTGGGTCGAAACAGATCGTATCTGAACCACGCCTCCATTTGTCATGACAAAACCCTTATTCTGGATACGCGTGGGTCGGAATACTGTCTTTTTGTGGCCGTGGGAGCGCTCAGTAGTTAGTGAGTTTGTCGTCTGCTATGCGATTAGGTGCAGTGAGGATCGGCCCGATGTCAGCCCCTAATACATTTAACTGAAGCTTTTCCACAGTAACTCACCTTTATTGAAAGTAATTTGTCCGTGTATTATACCAACTTTATAATCCTTTATAAAAGCATGGCGAGGTTGTGGATTTGGTCTCAGAAAGCGAGACTGGAACTGGTATTGAATAGAAACGGGATTGAGTAAGTTGGTCCAGGATATCGGTTCAGGTTGTGCAGAGTTAACATCTTCTGGCGTCTGTCTCATTTCACCATTTTCAGCAGTTAATGTCACTTCATTGTACAACATTTCAGCTTTTGTGACAACTATATTATGATATTTGGTAATTTTAACATGAATACATGAATATATTTTTGAAGTTTTAATTACAACATTTGATAACGATTTTTAAATTCTAAGGCAACTCCATTCAGTAGACAAATCAATTTGAAAATTATGTAGTTCTCTCGAGACAATAAAATTGCTGCTGTTTGGAATGTAAAAGCATTTTACTTTAACCATAGAAATTGTGATGTATTAGCATTCAAACACTCACACCCCTGAAATCTAAACACCTTGCAGTGGCGTTACTTTGAATGATTAAATTGAGAGGCAGAGTAGGGCCCAAATAATTGTCAAGAGAGGGAGGGGGGGGGGGGGGGTGGCAGCACCAGGCATATAATACTTTTTGAAACTTTGAACTTTGGGAGTAAAGCCAGGCCAACCTATGGTTGAGAGGGGGCATGGCCCTGAAAACATGACCTGTGTCGAGATGTATTTTCTGTACTAGATGTAACACGCCCAAAACAACTTACTTTTCTCACAATGGTTACCAGTAAATCCGTCAGAGCAATTACAATTTGAAAAGAGCTGATCTTTACATGTGCCGGGATAACAGCGTGAACTGTCGGATCTCCATGAACAGCCTTCTACGTACAAAATACATACCAACTTTACTATCAGATTTCTATGAATTATGCATCATCGATTTATGTCTTCAAAATACGAACATTTTTCCAGTAAAAGAAAAAAATATAAAGCTCTATAACCATTTGGTCTGGATAATCAAGAAGGAGTGGCTATCCCGAAATATACGCATTATAACATTTTACCGTGTAAAATCTAAAAGTGGCGCGCTTAAACGAAGCCAGACTTTTCCGAGGAGCGGTGGGGAGATTGCCCCGTTGAAACACAGATGGGTATATGCAACCGAAAGGACTGACAAACACGATGCAGAATTTAATATATAAAAAAATATTATTAAGGACATAATATAAAAATAAGCGATATTATGAAAACATGATAAGTGACTTACTATTACACTCTTTGTGATCCTCAGATTTAATATAGGCTTGGTATCCGGGTAGAATTCCCATGAATCCTTCACATCTATGGCACAGTTGATCAGTTTTATTTGTACAATATTCCAGATCACAGTTATTGATGGGGGAACAAACTGAAAAAAGTTATTAGTTTTTGTTGTACAATATTTCAGATCTCAATTGTTTATGGTTTTACAGACTGAAATAAGTTATTAGTTTTAGTTGTACAATATTCCAGATCACAGTTATTGATGGGTTTACAGACTGAAATAAGTTATTAGTTTTAGATCACAGTTATGGGTGAACAGATTGAAATAAATCATTAGGTTTAGTTGTACAATATTCCAGATCATAGTTATTGATGAGAGAACAGACTGAAATAAATTACTAGATTTTGTTGTACAATAGTTTTAGTTGTTTAATTATTGACAAATGAACAGATTGAAATAAATCATTAGGTTTAGTTGTACAATATTCTAGATCATAGTTATTGATGAGAGAACAAACTGAAATAAATTACTAGATTTTGTTGTACAATAGTTTTAGTTGTTTAATTATTGATGAATGAACAGACTGTATTAAATCATTAGTTTTAGTTGTACAATATTCCAGATCACAATTATTGATGGGTGAACAGACTGAAATAAATTATTAGTTTTAGTTGTACAATATTCCAGATCACAATTATTGATGGGTGAACAGACTGAAATAAATTATTAGTTTTAGTTGTACAATATTTCAGATCATAGTTATTGATGAGAGAACAGACTGAAATAAATTACTAGATTTTGTTGTACAATAGTTTTAGTTGTTTAATTATTGACAAATGAACAGATTGAAATAAATCATTAGGTTTAGTTGTACAATATTCTAGATCATAGTTATTGATGAGAGAACAAACTGAAATAAATTACTAGATTTTGTTGTACAATAGTTTTAGTTGTTTAATTATTGATGAATGAACAGACTGAAATAAATTATTAGTTTTAGTTGTACAATATTCCAGATCACAATTATTGATGGGTGAACAGACTGAAATAAATTATTAGGTTTAGTTGTACAATATTCTAGATCATAGTTATTGATGAGAGAACAAACTGAAATAAATTACTAGATTTTGTTGTACAATAGTTTTAGTTGTTTAATTATTGATGAATGAACAGACTGAAATAAATTATTAGTTTTAGTTGTACAATATTCCAGATCACAATTATTGATGGGTGAACAGACTGAAATAAATCATTAGTTTTAGTTGTACAATATTCCAGATCACAGTTATTGATGAGAGAACAGACTGAAATAAATCATTAGTTTTATTTGTACAATATTCCAGATCACAGTTATTGAAGGGTGAACAGACTGAAATAAATCATTAGTTTTAGTTGTACAATATTCCAGATCACAGTTATTGATGGGAGAACAGACTGAAATAAATCATTAGTTTTAGTTGTACAATATTCCAGATCACAGTTATTGATGAGTGAACAGACTGAAATAAATCATTAGTNTTAGTTGTACAATATTCCAGATCACAGTTATTGATGAGAGAACAGACTGAAATAAATCATCAGTTTTATTTGTACAATATTCCAGATCACAGTTATTGATGAGAGAACAGACTGAAATAAATTATTAGATTTTGTTGTACAAAAGTTTTAGTTGTTTAATTATTGATCGGAGAACAGACTGAAATAAATTATTAGTTTTAGTTGTAAAATATTCCAGATCACAATTATTGATGGGTGAACAGACTGAAATAAATTATTAGTTTTATTTGTACAATATTCCAGATCACAATTATTGATGGGAGAACAGACTGAAATAAATTATTAGTTTTAGTTGTACAATATTCCAGATCACAATTATTGATGGGAGAACAGACTGAAATAAATTATTAGTTTTAGTTGTACAATATTCCAGATCACAATTATTGATGGGAGAACAGACTGAAATAAATTATTAGTTTTAGTTGTAAAATATTTTAGAACACAGTTATTGATGGGAGAACAGACTGAAATAAGTTATTAGTTTTAGTTGTACAATATTCCAGATCACAATTATTGATGGGTGAACAGATTGAAATAAATCATTAGTTTTAGTTGTAAAATATTTTAGAACACAGTTATTGATGGGAGAACAGACTGAAATAAATTATCAGTTTTAGGTGTACAATATTGATGGGTGAACAGACTGAAATGAATTATTAGTTTTATTTGTACAATATTCCAGATCACAATTATTGATGGGTGAACAGATTGAAATATATCATTAGTTTTTGTTGTACAATATGCCAGATTACAATTATTGATTGCTGAAATTACGAGTTTTCGTTGTGCAATATTCCAGGTCACAATAGTTTTAGTTGTACAATATTTTATTCTATTAATTGATAGATGGCTACTTACTGTCACAGAATGGACCAGCTGAATAGAATCCATTTTGTTTACATTCACATACATCGGGTTGAATACACTTGCCGTAACTCGTCTTCGCTATTGTTTTATTAGCCAGTACAATGTGAGAGTCGGGAAAATATTCATTACAAGCTTCTGGATCAGACCTTCCTCTACAAACCGCTATCAAATATTATGACATTAGAATAACGTGATAATACACTATAGTACGTATATATTGGCATTTGCTCCAAAATATGTGTCAAAATGCAAGAAATCAATTTTACATTTGATAAGGTTTTTGGGGGGAGAACCTCTTCAGTCAGAACCCTGTATAAACCCATAGTTCCAGGAGGCTGGCACACTTTTCTGGAAAGCACTTTTTGGGGGTAGGACGTATTGATTTATCTAAAATATTTCATTTTAGTTCAACAATTTATACATGCATATACATTGTAATGCATTAATTTATTCTCTTACGTTTTTTGCAGTAGTAACCAGCCCAACCAGTAAGGCATCCTGTAAAACCAAAGCAAGTTTGAATGACCACATTCAGTTTAGTTTCATTTGAGATACATTTCGAACCATAAGCCTTTGTTAATACACCTTGTGAAATTATGTTAATATCAAGGTGTCTTTTCATTTTTTTTTTTTAAAGGGCAAGTAGGAACTTTCACTACACATAAGATGACCATTGTTATGTAAATATCTAAATACACTCAATTTTGCGACTGAGAGAATTTGAGAGCACACTAAAGCGGAGTTTGCCGTCGAATTGAGCAGTCCGAAAGTTCTCCTCCTTGATCATATTAAATGCGTGGGGTCCAATGAAATGAAATGAAATGAATGGAGTTTTACGTCCTACTTTTCTGCACCTTGTGGGCTAATGAAGACGGGCAACGCCATGCAGGGTGCCATGAGGGAAATTTTGCCAGGACAGCGGCATCAGCCTGCTCTTTTGCGATTTCCAACTGTCTAGGGATCTTTAACGTGCACAACCTGTAGCAAACGGGGCCTCGGTTTATTGACTAGACGCTTTTCCAATGTCAGCCCCTCTTACCTGCATCACTGACAGGGGGAAACCGGGTTGAAAAATCCGAAGGTATTATCTCGACCTATGCCGGGATTGAACCCTGGACCTTCAGGTTAGCGAGCAAGCGTCTAACTCACTGAGCCACCGCGGCTCCCAGTGGGGTCCAATGAGATGTATGTATGCACTTACGTTTATAAAAGCACCATACCGTATTTTTTACATTACCATCAAAACAACAGCCTTTAGCCCAACATGTATATTTACTTATTCCTGAATAACCACAATTACGCCGACTATACAACCCTATACCATAACATACACCTACATTGGAAAGACGAGAACATACTGTAAAGGTGGGCGTAGGGTAGGCGGACTGATGTCATTATCTGGCGATGCACGCCAGTCTGGTCAATTGTTTACGGAACAGCTAAATAATGTAAGATTCACATGCAAAGAGTTGCAAAATCCTTTATTTGATGAATAATGAAACGAAATTAGGAATCTGTACCAATAGACTTTTAATTGTATTTTTGAAAATAATGAAAATATACCCGAACCTACCCGCCGCTTTAACGTTATGTACAGCTGATGTTAAAACGGTTAAAATTAGAAGAAATTTTCCGTTTCTCATATCTGGAGTTAAAACTGAAACAATGACAAGGGAAAAATTTAATGGGATGGATTGGAGTTGAATGTTTACTATCTGCAATTAAAATGGCATTATCAAAATTTCATTAATAAACACGTTACTAATCATAAGCGAAAATATGCTATATACGTCTATGCATTGATCAACAAGAATTTTTTTTAAAGGGTTAATAAAAAAAACAGAATGTACTTTTTGTCCAGTAAGCAGTTAAAAATAGTTTCGGTGTTGGATCCTGCTCGATATTTTTATTTGATACCCGAAGAATAAGCAGAAGAAATATTTCTCTACATTAGTTTACCAACCAAAAAACATAGAGACTTGAAAAGTTTGAGTAGACATTTTTAGTTAAAACTTTCAAATCAAGTGCAGGGACAAATTTCCCGAGATTTTGGTCCACCTGTTTTCGTTTTCGAACACTTACTACTTCACAAAGATTGACAAAATGAAGTGCAAGAAAATAAGTTCAACCACCCAATGGAATATTAAAGTAACTGCAACATTTATAGCCCAACTTACCATCAGAGCCAACACGGAACCAGAAAACATCAAGAAACAATATTCATTTTAGTCCATTTTTTAAAATCTTCTAATAATTTTAACTTCATAATTTCAACTTTATATTGTCGTTAAAATCATTTAAATGTACTCTATTTCTGTACCAAAACAGTCAGTTCTATATTTTATTCATCTTCACAGTGTCAAGCTATTAGGAACTTCGTCTTATACCTTGACTGTACTAGCCAGTTTTGTTGTATCACAGAATGCATCGATTTGATTTGATTGTACGCCTGAGATTACCGGCAATCAGAGCCCTCGAGCAAAAGACCGAATTATTATGGCTCATATTTACAGGCTTTATGTCGAGAGTTCTGATTGACTGCATTCACTAGCTTACTATCCAATCAAATCGCTACTTTCACAAACATCCGCGATACAAGAAAACGCCTGATGAAGTCAAGGTATTAGACGAAGTTCATAATAGCTTGACATTGTGAAGATGTATTTTATTTGGGATGTGTACAAGGAAGAAACTAAATGTACTTCACATGAAGATATTATTGTTTCGTATAGCATAAAATACCAGTTAAATGTTATTAAAGGGCAACAGTCACCATCCGCTCGATCAATCGTATTGAAACGGAAATTGTTAAAGGGACAGATTCTCCATTGTGGGGGTTGATTTTAGTCTTGAATATATGTAAATAGTCTTCAGAAGTACTAGAAATGACGAAAATCGCATAATTTCTTTAAAAATACTACAAACTAGGAATTTTACTCACTATTTCTATATAAATCTTTTCTGTATATCACAGAGTATCTTAAATTTACGAATCTTCATTTCAACAAACAAACATGGATAATTCTGGACACATTTCTTGGAGTCTATAGTTAGTTTTCAATAGTTGCGAGCAACTAAATTTTCAACCTACTAAAAAAGCAGAGTGCCCCTTTAATTTTATTTATTGCATATGAGTCAACTTTTAACAGGATATGGAATTTCCTTATTTTTAAAGACATCAAATACCACCAAGTACATGTAGCATCTTCTATATAATATCCTACTTTCCTACTTCAGATAATACATCCTAAAACTAATAGGGAGCCGTAGTGGCTCAACAATTACTTTATGAAAAGACGATAAGACCTTCACTTGCCAGAGTCAAGGGCAATAACGAACCGAGAAACCAGCTCGTGTGGGATGTACATATAGGACTATGGTGCCCCCATTCCCCACCCCCTTTCGAGGGCCCGAATGTAAGTTTTCGGTCATGACTCTCATAACTAGGTTAGAAATTCAGGCAACCTCAGCCACTGGTACCAAGCTGTAATCAGAATTCCTTGTGAACAAAGTCACGTGACGAACTAGCGGATTCCATGTCAGCAGAAAAATTCTATGGAACACAATGTTGGTCATATAAGTTGTTTGAAAGAATTTTAGCTATAAATCACTCTTAGGTTTTGCTTATCTTATTTTGTCAGTCAATAATTTTTTTTCAAATCATTGTTCTTGGAAAAAATTGTGATCCTGAATTGATATCAAAGATAAATACTAAGAAAAGTTAATTATACTGTTGACTATCCATACAACGTGTTTTTCTCGACCCATTTTTAGATCAAACATTGTACACGAAAATTAGTGACGTTGTCGAGTTGGTAACTTGTGAAATATGGGTCAAATTGAGGGATTCTTAAAGAACATCGAAACAAACCAAATTTAATTATTTCATAGAATATTTAAAGAAACATCTAAGACATAAAAATCCAATATGAATCCTGATATGGACGAATACAGGTTACACCACTGTACAACAAGACATAAAAACGAACGAAATTCGAATGGACGAAATTCGGATATGAATCCTGATAGGAACGGATATAAAAAACAATTTATAACTACGATCTTTACAAGAATCTCAGTATCATATTATATCATTGTTGATAGAAACAAGATGTACTATTCAAGGTGGTACCTTTTTGACAAAAAAGAAATTCTGTCCAAAAAATTAAAAATATTAATATGAGATCCAATAATACATCGCTCATTTGATGTTTATGATAAAGGTGGTTACCGAAAGCGTTGCTATGAAAGACATAATTGACTTAAGAGCCCAGTCACACCGGCTGCGACCATATGCGATTCTACGGCTGAGCTGTAGCAGTTCAGTAAGGACTCTTTCCGGTGTGACGCGGCTATTATAGACAATGATAATTTTGCTTCATAGAAAAATGATCCCATTGCAGTTAAGGTCCTGTAATTGAAATCCAAGAATACATTGTGTTTTCACTTTAATTTTTTAGTTCCCATACAACCAACTCCTTAAAATTAAGAAACATCTCGGTTCTAAGACTCAGAAATATCAATCGTGAAGAGAAATTGACACCTGGTTGGTTACATGAAGTGAAATTGTAGATTAACTGGCCATTTGGTTTCGTATCTTTATGGCATATTGTACTTCCATTCAATGTGTCCAAATTACAATATCCATTACTACTAAACCTTAACTCGAACCCCTTTATTCTTCTGATGGAGTCTAAAATAATAATGAAGTAAAAAAAATTACCGATTTACGGAAACAGACTGTAAGATGAAACTCATTAATGATTAATTTTCCTTAATAAACTTATAATTAATTATTTAAAATACGAACAGAGATCATAAATCTTGATTGAGGTCGTCATGTATGATAGAATGATGGTATAAAATTAATTTAGCATTGTAAGGCTACCCAGGTAAAAAAAAAAATTGACACCACCTATATATACTGAACAGATTAAGATACGTCGCAAAGTGCAGAAAGTAGAGAACTATCTATCCAAATGTCAATAATGCACGTGGATCCCCCATTGCTAATAATGCCAATTTAAACGTTGGGAAAACCACTCAAGACGTTAGTGAGAAGTGAGCAATATCCGGCAGTTAATATCCAATGGCTTGTCCCCGTTGTTGGGAATTTAGACGTACCAAGTTCGCTGTCGTCACAAAACAACTGAATTCTCACCAGGTGCCTCATAAACCTGGCACAAGTAGCACGTGCGTTTCAATTTTCCCGTGAATCACTTGCAACTTGCTTCCATGAGCACCTCACAGTTTGTAAGGTTCACAACTGTTACACCGAACTCAACCGGTATTATCAGTTGAATGTCATAAACTGGTCCTTTTAATGTCTTCAAATCATATTTACAAAGCAAAATAACAAATTTCATCATACACGATTATGTTGAAATAATCCAAAAAATGCGACGTTTCTTTATCTGTCCAGTATGTACACGCAAATTTTGATAAGATTGGACTTAGATGTACTTACATGGGAAATCAATTCTGTTATACAGAACCACTGATTGAAAGATGTAAATTTTCTCTAAATCAACACACCACCATTCTAAATCAGAATTATAGGTGTGAGTTATAATATCAACCTTTCCATCAACACCAAAGCAGGGTGCAAACGCTTTAAACATACTGCTAGTATTAACTGGCTTATTCAAGGCAATGTTCTCTATAAAACACCCTGAAATAAAATTCATTGGTCTTTAAACGGGAAAAATCAGATAATATCTGCACAAATATGAAATGAATGGCGTTTTACGTCCTATTTTTCTGCACCATATGGGTTAATGAAGACAAGCAACACCATACAGTGAGGGACAGCGGCAGTAGCCTACTCGTTTTTGATTTTCAATTGTCAAGGGATCTTTAACATGCTTGTAGCACACTGGTGTATTGTCCCATCCGAACGACTAAAATATGCACAGGTATTATACACTACTAATATATATTGCACACCATTTTAAGAGTGATATTTCTATAAAGCTCTGCAATTCATGTATTGGACACTATTTTAACAGTGGTATTTCTATATTGCTCTACTATTGATGTATTGAATACTATTTTAACAGTGGCATTTCTATAAAGCTCTGCAATTCATGTATTGGACACTATTTTAACAGTGGTATTTCTATATTGCTCTACAATTGATGTATTAGACACTATTTAACAGTTGTAATTCCATATCAATCTACAATTGATGTATTGAGTACTATTTTAACAGTGGTATTTCTATATTACTCTACAATTGATGTATTGAGCACTATTTTAACAGTGGTATTTCTATATTACTCTACAATTGATGTATTGAGCAATATTTTAACAGTTGTAATTCTATATCACTCTACAATTTAGGTATTGAGCACTATTCTAACAGTGGTAATTCTATATTGCTTTACAATTGATGTATTGGACACTATTTTAACAGTGGTATTTCTATATCGCTCTACAATTGATGTATTGAGCACTATTTTAACAGTGATATTTCTATATCGCTCTACAATTGATGTATTGAGCACTATTTTAACAGTGGTATTTCCATATCACTCTACAATTGATGTATTGGACACTATTTTAACAGTGGTATTTCTATATGCTCTACAATTGATGTATTGAATACTTTTTTAACAGTGGTGTTCTATATCGCTCTACAATTGATGTATTGAGCACTATTTTAACTGTGGTATTTCTATATTGCTCTACAATTGATGTATTGAATACTATTTTAACAGTGGTGTTCTATATCGCTATACAATTGATGTATTGAGCACTATTTTAACAGTGGTATTTCTATATCATTCTACAATTGATGTATTGGACACTATTTTAACAGTGGATTTTCTATATCGCTCTACAATTGATGTATTGAGCTCTATTTTAACAGTGGTATTTCTATATCACTCTACAATTGATGTATTGGACACTATTTTAACAGTGGTATTTCTATATTGCTCTACAATTGATGTATTGAATACTATTTTAACAGTGGTGTTCTATATCGCTACGCAATTGATATATTGGACACTATTTTAACAGTGGATTTTCTATATCCCTCTACAATTGATGTATTGAGTACTATTTTAACAGTGATATTTCTATATCACTCTACAATTGATGTATTGAGTACTATTTTAACAGTGGTATTTAGATATCACTCTACAATTGATGTATTGGACACTATTTTAACAGTGGTATTTCTATATTGCTCTATTGAGGACTATTTTAACAATGGTATTTCTATATTTTACTCTACAATTGACGTATTGAACACTATTTTAACAGTGGTATTTCTATATTGCTCTACAATTGATGTATTGGACACTATTTTAACAGTGGTATTTCTATATTGCTCTATTGAGGACTATTTTAACAATGGTATTTCTATATTTTACTCTACAATTGACGTATTGAGAACTATTTTAACAGTGGTATTTCTATATTGCTCTACAATTGATGTATTGAGCGCTATTTTAACAGTGGTGTTTCTTGAACAAATTCAGTTAACCGGCAAAAATAGAAGACAACATTTCGGCGAAAATAAAAATGTTCTTTCAATATATAAAATTCTTTATGGTTAGCACAAATTTAACGATAAGCAATGGAAAACAAGGATAATCAAAACTGGCCTTGGCTTTTCGCACCGTGACGGTACAACATATGGCCATCACTTCCCCGAAACCTAAACAAAACGTCATTCTTGACAATCACAATGGCTTCACACTAAACAAAATACAAACGCGGTGACACGGAAACAATCCATTGCCCATGCAGCTCTACCATTGACTGCAAAACAATTGCACGGAAAAGATGGAAAACAAAAACAGTACGCACCGTGACGGTGCAAAAAGCCAGTGCGAGAATAATTACAAGTTATATCAATCAACAGTGTTTTTACCTTGGGGTAAAAAGGTAATCATACCGACATCCACTGAAGATGAATTGCATCTGGGAAAATCTTCATAATGATAACACGAGTGTCTGTATTTATGATATGCAACACCATAACATTGGTCATCAATAGAGCAAGATACTACACATCGTGTTCGTCCTATTATTATAAGGTTCTTATAATATCCCGATAAAAGTTTATCTTTCAAATAAATGGTAAAGATCCGGGAAGGCAGAGAATCTCCACACTTCAGCACGATTATCACAGACAGCCAAAATACAAACATCATTTTACACTATTTTTACTAGAATCCAGATGAAAAACTTCTTTACTGCTCGATCTCAAGGAGAAAAGCGATATGTAATATTATTCAAATTGTAATCCAAACATCGAAACCCACTAAATCTGATAAAATCAATGAGGTAAAAGATGAAGCAAAAATAACACGCAAGGTGTCTACGAGAAACCTAATAGCTTTGAACCCTAAGCATCTATTGGATAAATACTACCAGCGTCTTTTCCGAATGTAGAGCAATGTATAAAAAAAAAACTACATGTATAGCAACAAAAAAGTAGGAAATAATAATACACGCGTTTAGTTTTTTTTCTTGACAATTAAACCATCAATGAGTGATTTAATCGCATTTACTTGATGACAACTAAATGATGTGTTGAGAACTTACAATGAAAATAATTTGTTAATGTACAAAAACAGTTCACAACTAATTATTAAAGATGGGTACCCTTCTTTTCATTTATGAAAATGAAAATGCTAATACTTATATGAATAGAAAGTAGAGGTGTTCTAACTTTCAAAAATACCAGTTTGTCTCACATGTCCATAATTAATTCATAATTAGCTACATTAGAAGAGAATTACCAGTAGCATTACAATGAGTGACCGATCCAGAAAGGTCAAAAAGTCGTTTTTTGTTCATCCAGACTGTACATTCATGGACATTTATGATTGGTTAAAACTTTTAATTATATGCAATAAGAACATAATGATATGATTAAGAATACATGATAATTCATTAGAAACACCAATTAATGAAATAGTTTGCTTAATTTATCACTAAGAAAAAAGGAAAGACTTCTTTAAGACTTATAAGATCGCGAATGTTTAATTTCTTGGCAGAAAAACACGTGTATTATTGTATTGTTCTTCTCTATAATAGATACTTGAGTGGGATACCAAATTTAGTAAATCTGCTGAAATAAAAACAAAAAAGTTCAAGACTAAAAAGGATGAATAAAAAGTTCTAAGTGGAATATCTCAATCAAACTGTTTCTGTTTACGGGTTAACAATGAACTCGTAACACTAATTAATAATATATAAGAATATATGTAGATCATGTATTCATACGCCACGTGAGCAAAACACCACCGTAACCTTTAAGTTGCCCGTCTGCATTAGCCCACGAGGTGCAGTAAAGTAGGACGTAAAACTCCATTCATTTCATTTTGAAGTTGACGACTCAGTTAAATTGACGAAAATGGCATGCAATTATTGAAACCATAACTTTGATTAAAAGTCATTATTTGGTTATCAAATGAGATCGCGTAAGCACATTTTGCAGATGATGCGAATAGGCTGACAACTAAATGAAAGCAAGCACTACCAGTATAAAACGATGCATGGAATGTAAGGAAAATAATGCGTTTATTGATAGTTGTATGATCTCCGATGACCGTGAATAAGTCATCTTTCCTCATAATTCTAGTCGACCCAACTGTAAATTCCTACGGAAAATCTGGGAAAGTTCAAAACCAAGAGGTTTGGTCTAGGATCAGCTGGTAGAAAGGATCCTTAATTGTGAATTTAAGTCGTCAACATTGTAAAATATAGTTCTTTTTGAAGTGTTTCTGAAGAAAGCAACTAGCCGAAACGTTAATCAACAAGACAATAGTAGGCTATATATTTTTAATTGTTTTCCCCTTGAATGGGAATTTGTGATATAATGTAATTGTTTTTCTTTTCATCATTCAGTGAAGTGTTGAGTCGACCCAGTTGACGTTCGTAGGAACGACATCGACGCCCTGTAGTGACCACGTCAATCAAACTCAATGTTAAAAGTAGTCCGTTTAGGGGCAGATATAAGCCGAATGCACGTGACAACTGTTATCCAATCAGATTGCGTAATACTGTTTAACCGAAATCGTGATTTAATTATAAGTAGTTGAAAGGACACAAGTCACTGGAGTTTCATACTCAACATCTGCGATATGGAATTTTTTTCCGAAGCGGACACCATCCACGAGCAAAAAGAAGAAGTCACTGGGTTAAAGCATTGTTCACTAACAGTGGCGGCTGCAGAATATTGGATTGGGAGGGTGAAGGGTACAAATAATTTATTTCGCATTAATTTAAGTTTGAAAAAAATGAAGGGCTTAAATATTGCATTTTATACAATTGGGAAGAGTATTCTTTCAATATAACTTTTGATGAAATAATTTCCACAACAAAATTTGATAACTTGTTCGATTGGTTTCCCTTTCATTTAGAATTAACTGTTGTTTATATTACATCCCACCATTTTTGGGGGCAAACCTAGTCTTTTCCAGATACGAAGCGGCAAATAATTCACTAAAGTGTAGGTGTATCAGAAAAGTGTAGGTGTATCAGAAAAGTGTAGGTGTATCGGATAATAACCTACTCTAAAGATCAAAGGATCGAGAAAAAGTATGGGTATAAATATATAGCAATCAGCATTTGCAATATTCTGTTATGACACCAGGTAAGTCCACTGATGAATTTACCGCATTGACGCATTTTGACCATAATTCAAAATTCAAAAAAAAAAAAAAAAAAAATGAATGGCCCTTATACGCTTCCGTACAAAACACATACATTTAATCAAATTAAAGCAGAACAATTAGTACCAGAATCCCAAGCGAATATTACAGAAAAAAAAGATCAGATTACGACATCACTATCGCAATATAATTTGGTTTGAATTATATTTTCGACTGTCACGTCATAATCTGCTGTGTGTTTTTTTCTCAGATGTTACCGGTACACATCGTATAAAGTACTAAACGTTCGATTGAAATATCGCCCATTTCATACACAAGCAAAAACAGTATATCGTTAACATATTTATTAGTAAACATCTATAACCCAAAAAACAGATTTTACAGGGAAAATACAGTAAAATACAGCGGAATATAAAGATAACTTACAAAAACTATTATCAATTAAAAAGAGTAGAACAAACTATAATCACAAAAACAATAGGATGAATTAAAATAAGTTCACAGTAATCTTAAACACTACATAAATCTACAGGGCATTTAAATATTCAAATAGTCCAAAAGATGCTAATCGGCCACCAAAATGTCAAGTTTGTTTTCAGACATCAGCGTTAGTTACTAGGAACCCATTTCAGTGTTGTGTGTACATATTAGTACTATACAGTTTATGCTAATCGGGCCACCAATATGACCATCAAAAATACTACGTATACAGATATTGGTGTTAATTTGGTTTCAGAAGAAACAGATATCGGTGTTAATTTGGTTACAGAAGATGTCGAATCAAGATCAATTTCTGTGTTGCAAGTAAAGAAACGCTGGTATAACCTGGTCGCTGCTATCGGTACATCAGTGGGATTCAATCGGCACCAATGATAACATCTAACTGAATATCTATATGTAGTAATGCTACCTGTTAGATTGAAAGCCAAATTAGTATCTAGATACTCATAATATCGTCTGTATGATAGTAAACTAAATTGAGAATTACACAAATTATAAGCCATTCTATTGAGTATAATAATACCTGTTAGCTGATCATCAACTATAGTTAGATTATACAGCGTAACATTTTGACTGTAGTATTTGTTGACGTTATGCATACGCTCTAAAGTGGTGGCTGTCTGAACGAGTTTGGAGGAAATACGTTCTACTTCTAGTGCCATTTCACGGGATGATTCGGAAGGAACTGTGAAATTAATTTTGAAAATGTACCGAATACAACCAAAAAGATCTGGTACTATCTGACAGGTATTATTGACTACTGGCAGACTGCCAACACATTTTCTTACTTTACATTCCTTTACATTATCATTATCATCGAAAGAACAAGATAAATTTTGAATAAGACTCATTTTAGAGTCAAGAAAGACAAACGATTCTCTATTTTGTTTCCAGTTGAGAAGTATTGAAAGAGTGAAAGATTGCACAAATGTACCATAAAACATATCCTCTCTGTTCGCCGGGAAGCAACCGTCAGTTGGCTCTAATACAATATTACATTGAAGACAAAATGTGTTTTTATACATTGACTTTTGGTATTTAATGGGCGATAGGGCATTTTCCACACACAAGCTTTGTTCTTCATGAGTAGCAGAAGGTATACAGGACGTTATCATACCGGGGTAACATATAATTTCTCTTGAATTAGGGGGAGGGATAAAAATTACAGGATTGCGGAATAATCCCAATATGTCATTCCCACTGCTAGCCCTTATTCTACGGTTATTAGTTCCAATCATTGTGGACCAATAAACAATATCGTCTTCGTCTTCACCATTACATAACATACAATGTCGGTTTTTATAATGTAGCTTTGTCCTTTTTGACATCACTTTGGTTACAACTACGGACGATCTGGTTTCTTCTTCACACAATTCTACAGTCTTGACAGATACATTGGTTAGAGAACAACTGGTAATAATCTAAATATAATATAAATATTGAAATATATCAATCGGTGTAATATATTTTAGTTACAAGAAATGTGGTGGAACAGAACCGGATATTCCCAGCTTGGGATGCGGTTAGTAAAATGAGAAATATCCATTTAGATCGAGTGTGCGTGTATGGACTTGCTGGATAATCGAAACGAGACTTATTGATCATTATTGGTGACTCTTTAGCAAATTCGTTTGCATTCCCCACTTAATTAGCTACTAACGATTTCATTAGAACACATCAGAACACCATTAGATTATTAGAACACCTTTACGTTCGATTGATATAAGTATATAATCGAATAATAATCGAATATAAGGGAAAGCATCTTTAAAACAAATTCGGGTTGATCAAATGTATACATAGAAGTTATTAGCATATTTTAGAAATCGTTTATGTATAGTGTACAATGTCTTTAAACAATTAGAAATTTACATACTGCCCCTTGAAGTACAATGTATCTAATAACAAAAGGGACCAATCCAGAAATGACTTGTTCGAAAACAAGAAAGAAAATACAACTATAAATTACCTGTTGTGGGACATCTTTTCCTGATATCTTACTGTCGCATTCTATCGTAACGTTCATCAGGTTCTCGTGATCATGTTTGGATTTCTCCGATTCTTCTTTACAAACTGATTCATAGTCAAAACAGCATCGTCCATAAACCCAAGCAATATTCATCACATGAACACCATAAAGCAAAGAACTTTCCACAAACACCGGAACAACTTTGAGGAGTAAATTCCAAACAATCTTCCGCGATAGGACTCGACCTCTCTATCTTGGTTGTTTTAAGAGTATTGTTTGGTAGAGTTGAGTCAAATGCTGATGTTGTTGATATCACCAGAAAAACTACAACCATAAATATCAGACTCATGGTTGTTCTCAATTTTCTCTCATCGTAAAGTCTAAAGAGAAAGCGGCTCTTATATAGTCTTATATACCTTGTTTATTTCTTCAGTGCTAATTAGATGGTCTTTCTGTTAGATTAATACAGATCAGTTTATTATCATGTTATTAAGAACCTGAAACTTATTTTCACGACGTTTTGATTAGCAGGTCCTGTAACTAACATTGTTTGGTTTTCGTATTCATAATAGCCCATTCACACCTGACTGTGACTATTTGTGATCTTACGGCGACTAAACATATACTTGGTCGCCGGCACACGTGAAAAAATCGCAAGAAAAAGTTTATCGAAATTTCAAATTCGTGTTATCAACCTGCGACACAATGCGACCATATTGCGTTCCCAAGGCTAGTTTCCAATAAAATACATGGGCATGGTGCACTTTATTTTTATCGTGGAGATGTTACGACGCTTGTCCAAAGGCAATCCGTAGTAATCAATCGTCGATCAATCCCGCTCATGGCGACCTTCACATACTCTCATCTCTTTTAAGTCTTTTTCAGTATGGATGTCTTTTCGGTGTTACGGGCGGGTTAAGGGTGAGTGTACCAAGACACAGTTTGCGGTATAACCTCAAAGTCCTGTACAGATAGGAGGTTATTCAAGATTTTTCCTATTCATAGTTAGCCTACACTAGATGCTACATATACCTCAAACTTAGTAAGAAAGCGTCAAAAGGATATTCAGTTGAAACTGGTCGTGGGCATAGACGTACGGGCCGAAGGCAGACTGGTTTACCCGAAATTTTCCAACGAATATTAGTCATCGGTTGGACTTACCTGGTGACATATAGACTATACAACAGAATATTGTATATGGTGATGAATCCATTAGAACAAAAAGTAATTATTTAAGTATTAGGCGTTTACAATAATTACCTGTAGTTTTATGGATAATTACTGAGTTTTATGATTTATCGGATTAAACAGATATTCTGTTGTAAAGTTATGGCAGAAGTGAACTGGTGAATATAGGCCTAGATTTATTGTGGCCGTGTTTAAAAATTTAAATTTGTGATCATCCTATGGGGTAGCCTAGTATTCCTTTAATATCGAGGAAATTGAAATTCATTACAACTAAGAAAGTATTATTCAGGTTTCAATTAGATAAACTACTCCTTGTGTCATTTTTCTTCCTTATATAGGTACCAAGACTTCCTCCCGTCTCAGAATTACTTATTGAAATCTCACGATCAAATTAAACCTCTTCACAAATCTCATCAAGATTTTCTGTGTATAATTATCAGTATCAAATTCGGATAATATCGGTATCATAATAGCAAGTGTAGCCGTTTTCAGCCAAATAGGAATGCGATCGTAGGCTCTGATCACACCAACGAAAGCCACTAGTGCTCAAACTTATTCAAAATCTTTACTCATTTGCCGATTCATGTTTTTGTAAAGCTAAGTAAGCCTACAAATATACAAATAAATGAAGGTCGAATTTCTACAACAAGATTTCTCTCCATTTTGTTTTTTTGTATCTTTTCTGTACTACGACAATCCTTTAAAAGGGAGGTAATTCGCATTGCGGCGAGTATTCCGAGCGAGTATAAAAATAAAGAATGAACGAAGCTCAAACTCAAAGATAGGCAGTCTTATATGTGTATGTGGTCATTATTTTATTTCCTGTGACATTTGCTTCTCTGATTAATAGATGGATAGATCTAATAGGAAGAGGATCGAAGGAGTGATGCCGATTCAGGAAGGAACATTATTTCTTAAATCTTATTTTCCAATTGGTAGTCAGATTAATTACTGGTACTTATAAATGCTCATTTTACATTACCGGTACTACAGATTAGCCCGTAGGGTCTAACATTGAAGTTATTTATCTCAACCACATGCCCTTAAAGATGTCAATATTAATAAAATATGGGCAATGTGGAGAAAATATTGTCAACGCTACTCTTTTGTTATTTTCTCCACATTGCCCACATCTTATTAATATTGACAGAACTTCAAGGAAGGGCCTGTGTCTCAACTGTAGTTTCCCATATAGAAATATATTTTCATGTTTGAGTAAACTGTAGTGATTCACTGCCTTGTTCTAGGGCTGGCCTGGGGCGCTGGATGATATACATCCAATGGTTCTGAAACTGAGAATCCCTAATTTGTCTACATTGATTTGTAGACTGGTTCTTCAGCAAATCCGATGTTGGCCATCTTTGCAATGTCAAGTTATTCATTTAATGCAATATCCACTATTCTTGTATTACAGAGGTTCGTAAATGTAGAGATTTTATTGTATAGATGTATTTAGCTAATACTCGACAGAAAGTCTGTAAACAGTAAGCCAAAATGTTTACAGTCTATTTGTGGAGGACTATGGTTGGCTGTGTTTGTAATACCTTCTTTGTTTTCTTGATTTTTTATGTGTATCAGGGACACTGATAACATCAATTTGCACTATTCCACTTTCCAATTAGATGTCTGTGGTTTCTGCAATTCCAAGTTGTTGATGAGGTCAGTAATCGCAAAATATACTTTATCAGATAAGGACTATGCGATTAGTGATGTCATGAAACTCTTTAGTGGAATTGCAGGAACCGCTGACGTCTGATAGTAATTTGGAACGCGGCAAATGGATGCTATTAGTGTCCCTGATACACATAAAAATTTAAAAAACTTTTAGGTCCAGTTACTAGCCTTTTTTATTTAATAATTATGAAACATTTTCAATGTTAAAGTAATGCTCAATACATTAATTGTAGAGTGATATAGAAATACAAAACCTAAAAAAAACATATTGTTGTTACTCAGAGTTTCACTCTATGTGATCTTCAGTCTTTTTCTATTTATATACAATAAATTATTCTTTTTCTACTTTCAGATACTGTCAAGAAAATAGATCTAAATAATGAAACAATAGTCAGTAGTCTGATTAATACATGTATAACATACAAATAATGTGTGTAAACAAATGAAAAAAACAAAAAACTAATGTTTTCAGATTTGATTGGAAGTTTTCAAAAAAAATTTTGTAAACTGTAAATGAAAATGGAGAAAAAAGTCAGAAGAAAGGCAAGGAAAAGATCAATGGTTGAACTTGAAAATAAATTGGAAAAAATTGAAAAAGAAAAGGATTACTTCCAGCTGCTATCTTTAGAAATTATTTGCAAAATATTTAAATATGTATCTTTATTTGATGTTCTGAAGTTATCGTCTCAATGCAGGAAATTTCAGCAAGCAGTTTCTATGTACCTTCGTATTCTGAAGTCCATTGATTTTACACAAGGTCAACTTCATGGTTGGATGCCGGCCACAGTGAATGATGATCATTTAAATTCTTTATTACCCAAATGTCGTGAATTAGAATACATTTATGGTTTCCACCCTGCTCATCTGTCGAAAAGAAGATTACGTAATTGCCGCCATACTTTAAGTATTCCTGGGATCCTAGCAGCTTTGAATTTTGCTTCAAAGTTAAAAGGAATAGAAATATCGGATATTACTTTATTAAGTGCTGTGTTGAATTATTTTCCTAATCTGAAGATTTTAGGAACATTCAGAAATAGAATGACTGAGAGTGCTTTAGAAAATGACAGGTTTAGTTTCACTGTCAACCCAAAAGTTACTTCCCTTCATTTGACTGGAATTACCATTCCTTGTTTACCAAAAATGGACATGGTTCTGTATTTGTATTTACATCAAGTAAAAATAACCAATGCTCATCCATTCAGGGAATTTTTGGTTCCTAAATTACAGACTTTCGTGATGTCAAATTGTTGTGGTCCTGTCAATGCCTTGAGTTATGTCCCTTTATTTGCTGGTCTTGCTGCTGCTCAGCCTCTGACTAGATTAGAACTTGTTAAAGTTCCTTTCATGGGTGTGTACTATTTCATATTTAAAATTAATTCTAGTAAGCTCTCAGGGATGTTGTACTGTACAAAACCCTTAGAGATTGGTAGCTGTTTGGTGGTTTAGACTTACTGACATCATTGTTCAGATGGGAACATTATATTGAACCCTTGCATATGTCCCTGCTTTTCTAATGATATAAACCTGGGCCCTGTGGCTGCAATCTTAACCTTACCGTTAACCATTAATTGTATATGATGATTTACTTCATTTACACTCTGTGTTCGAAAAGTTAATCCTTGTTATATGATATCCTTGCAAACCATTCTTTGGAAGATATCATCCAAACGTACCCAGGTTAACAGCTTTTACCAGTGAATGTAAGCTGAGTAGCAATGATTGATTTGGAACATTCTACCTGTTGAATACATGTTGTATGTTCTTGTTATTGCAGGTGGTTTAATACATCATATTGTAGAAGATAGTTGGAGAGCTAATGGATTTCGACAACTTACTAATGTTTTGTTTAGTTCTTGTAGGAATGCTTTAGAAATGGATCTTGGTTTCCTGCTAATAACAGCTGCAGACAAGTATTTATTAAACTCATTATTATTAATCTTAACCCTCAGTGGTGTCTGGTTTGATACCTTACTGTTATCTAACAGACATAGTTGAGATTGACTTTCAAATATTTACCAAAATGAATTATTGCCGAAGGAGGGATTCTGAACAAATAGAATTGAAAATAGGTCAAAATCATGTTTTCTGATATTTTTCCTCTCTATTGTAATCTAACAAGTTTTCAACCACAGTCCTGTTCTAATGATGTCATTTTTAACCAATCAGAGAGTGTCATGTTGAACCTGTATCTTGATATAATGACAATTTGACGTCATAAAAATAAGGTCATTACAAGCCTCTGGTAGAAAACTTGTTAAAAAACAACAAGCTATTGAATTGGTGTACACTGTAATCAAAGGTTAGCTGTACTTAATTATCATGAGCCATTTAAAGATAATTACCTTGATAATATACAGATATTCAAATTGCTAAACATTGTTAGTGGTGTGCTTTTTACGCTCAAAGGCAAGTCCAGGGTTTTTATTCAGCTTTTTACTACAAGCTGTTCTATTTTGAAGTAAAATCAGGGGAAATTGCAAGAAATGATTTTGTTGTTTTCAGATTAAAGGAACTAAGTATTCAACCGTCCCTGACTAAAGATAGTTTGTTTTCTGCTCTCAATATGGCTGATGTACAATTTGATAATCTGAATGTTTTATCATTGGGTTATGTTGATGTTACATTGGAACAAGGTAAACAAAATTTATCATTATCATTTTTCCTAGAAAGGCCCCTTTCAGTATAATCTATGTATAACTGCCATATAATGTGAAAATGTGTGTAAATGGCCATTAAACCTTTTTAAATTTTTAGGGGGTAATGAGATGATTTGTATTCAAGCATAAATTTGTGTTGTTCAGTCAGACTATATTCTCAAATGAAAAAGATTACAGAGAAAACCTTGGAGAAGGTCATGAAATAGTATATACATATATAAAAATTTATAGGGGGAAGGGGAGGTAACAGTAGAGATTTATAGGGGGAAGGGGGATAACAGTACAGTAAAGATTTATATGGGGAAGGGGGGTAACAGTACAGTAAAGATTTATATGGGGAAGGGGGGTAACAGTACAGTAAAGATTTATAGGGGGAAGGGGGGTAATAGGAAGAATATATAGAGGGAAGTGGGGTATTACAATCAATCAAGGATGTTGAAAGAAGTAGTAGAAGTAAATAAAAGTTGAAAACTCTCTGATAACTTTCAAAATAGGCTGATGTGGTTCTTCTGCACTTACCTACTAAAAGACTCACCAAATATATTATTTATATCATGAAAGATTTATGCAACTATTTGTGAATTACTAAAGGAGATGTATCTGTATATGAGTTTGGAAACAATGTGGTTGAAAGTCCTGCTATGATAACAGATAATGGTATGAAGGCTGTAGGTCAGACATTTCAAGATATCTCCCAGATGGAAGTCTATAATTGTCCACATTTAATACAACCCTGTACCTGGTTTTCATCTGGTAGGTTTAGATCCAGCACTTACATACCATATACAACTAGGGCTGATCAAAATAATCAAATATTGTCGCTAGGAATTTATAATTCGATTATTGCTTATCAAATTTCATCATCAAAGAATTTGAAAGTTGTAATCAGGATCAATTGTTATATGTCCACATGAAATGTGACGCGTATGTTGGTGTCACCCTTATCTGTCAGTCTGTCAGTCCACAATACCTCGTAAACACTCTAGAAGGCACAATTCTTGACAGATGTTGAATTAAACTTGGTGTAAGTGTTTGTAATCACCCAAGGATGAACTTTATTGAAATTAAAAAAAAAAATTATGTGTTATTATTGGTTATCTATATTACAGTGGTTGTTAACTGGGCATATCTTCAACACCTGACATTACGTAGATGTCACTCTGTTAGGTTACAAGATTTCTCAACATTTATCAGTCATCTACCTCGACTAGAGATGTTACAACTAGAGTATATGTTTAGAGAACCTCCTAAAGGGTGTTCAAGGTAGGTAGTCTCGGTGGTTAATTTTGCACTCATTTAAGACTGATTTTAGTACAGAGGCTCATTGAAAAAAAAATCAATATTGATGTAGAGTGATAATTTCCTGTAAATTTTACACTTTTCAAACTGTTGGTATAACTATCTTAGAAATTTTTCCTCATTGCATGGCATTGTCTGTTTTCATTAGCTCAGTCATCAGAACCCACCACTCCATCCATTTCATTTAATTTCAAATATATGTTACAGCATTTTGTCGCATTTCGTTTCAGGGTTGGACTGAGTGCTGGTACAGGGCTGGGAGTATCATCTGCCTTGGTACAGAATCATGCCCATGGTAACGACATTCAGCCCAATCAACCAGCAGACGAGGAACAGGAAGTGGAAGACGAGGATGACCTCAATAATAATGACGATGAAGAAATGAATCGAGCAGAAGAAGCTGATGATGATGAAAACATTGAAATTGAACCCATTATTATGTTGAACAATGCTAGAGCTGTACCTGTTAGAAATCAACAAAATGTCAGACTTGTTGCTAATGACAATGACAATGTCAATGATGCTGAAGGAAATATAGCCGATGAACCTCCATTGCCTGCTGAGCAACCGCCCTTACCACCAGAACCACCAGTGGTAGAAAATCCACCATTACCCAAAGATGATCCTCCAGAAAATAATATGGAAACACAATCCGAAGAAAAAAAGGAAAATCCAAAAGAATCTGATATCAATGTTCCTTCTGGTAGTCAAGGAAATGTACCCAGCTCTAGTCACAGCCAATCAGAAGTTGTTCATGACATCAATGAACCAGGATGTAGCCATTGGAACTATGGGAAGGGAGCTTCTGAAAATTCCAAGCAGTCCAAGACAAATGATTCTTCGAAAGTGAAAAAGTCCAGTAAGTCTTCTGAGACTAATAGAGACAAACGTGTCAAATCTGTGAGAATTGTATCTGTGAAATGTAGTCCACCAGCTCGGTCAACACGGTCTACCAGTGCCAGCGAACAACTTTCAGCAGACTCTAATGCAATCCCAGTAAACAATGAAACTGATGCTGACAACAGTATGGTTGGTGGTCGATTTGAGGTTCAGGGAGACCCTGTAGAAAACAGTAAAATTGATAATTCGTGCTATTTGTATGATAAACCACCTCCAAAATATTCTGAAGCTTTGTGTGCTGGTAATAGTGCTGCCAGTTCTTCCACTGGAAATGAGAACAATAACGATAATGATAGTGCTGAACCAATGGATACTGAGAATTCAAATTCAAATATTCCTGACACTGATGTATCACCGCCTGATTATGAAACAGCAATGGCTCATGGGAATGTTATTAATGTGGCACCATGTTCGTGTGGTCTGAATCAAAATCCTGAAAATCCTGAAATTTCTAATAATAGTGCTAATAAACATGATGGAGATGACAGTTCCAGTAGATCTGAAAATAAGGAATCGTTAAGTGGTAAAAGTGATGCTAATTCTTCAAATACTAGTGAAAACAAATGTCTTAAAGATGAGAAAGAAGATGAAAAGCCTCCGAAATTAAAACGAAAGCGAAGGTCTACTTTAGAACTTCTTGGAATGAACACATTTTCTCGTGATCAGGCCTGCCAAGCAGTCAGTGAAGAAATTCGAGAAGAGACACAAAAAGCTGAGGAAAAATACAAATCACAGAAGAAGAAAAAGACTGGTACAACTGGGTCTACAAGAAAATCATCATCCAGACAGACATCAAAGAAAAGTCAAAATGGCAGTATGGGTAACGAAGGTCAGACATCAGCAGGACGATCTCGAAGATCAAGTGTGTCGTTGAAGCGTAAGAAGAGTATCCATGATAAAGCCACTAGTACTAGTGATCCTGTGATGGAAGATGATCACATACAGGTACAGCTTCAATTATTGGTTGCTCCCCTCCCCCAAACATAAACCCATGGTGGAAAATTTTATCAAAGTCTGTTATGTTCACCCCTTTTAAGGTTATAGGTTAAACTGTGCACTATACATGCAAATATATGGTATCTTCTTACTTTGCTATTTTACCTCAGACACATTAAAAGGTTATATTTCCTGATCATTTAATTCTATATAGTGATAATACTGCATTTTAAGTGCCTATATACCATTACAGAATGAAAATCAAACTTTGTGTTTGTATACAATTAAATGAATATTTACTTCTTTAACAACAGTATAGAACTCATTGGCCACACAATGAAATGGCTCCTGCATTAAACCTGGATATTTAGATGGTCAACAAACACAGAAGTTTCAATAATACATATATTGTAGGTATTATTACTCAGATCAGATAGTTTGGTGTGTGTTAAGTTACATATGGTAGGAATCACTGATTTAATTATAGAAGATTGTCCTGAACTCTCCTCAGTTAGCGGTAAATATTTCTGTCAATAATTCGATCAGGAAGTCATTAAATTGAAAAAATTGTCAACAGAAAAGAAGATGTACTAATTATTTAATATTGAGTTATCAGATGTGCAATTTGATTGGTCAAGATATAATTGAATTCAACTCTCCCCCATTCCATATTTCTGTTTCACACACAAACAGAAACCATTTACCAATATGGCAACAAAATGAGTTTGGTTTTGAAAAGAAAATTGTGTCTTTGAACCTTGTAAAGAAATTTCAAATTGTTTGTGGTTACTGACTTGTTATGATTTGTGTTATAGGTAGTGCTTGTCGGGTTTTAAAGAAAGTTACTATCTACAGTGCCCCCAATCTGAGTAAAACTAACTTTGTTCAGTGTAAGAAATTAGATCAAACACATCTGGTGAACGAAGTTTGTGATCAGATCAGTGAACACAACAGAGTCATCTTCTTACGACCCATGCATGAGGTAAGCTGAGGGAATATTAATCTTTTTGATACCATTAATCTATTATCAGTTTAAAACTGGCCAAGTCTCCTCAGTTGGTTGGTAAATAACAACTTTATTCCAGCTAAAGCTGATATTGCTGACTATGTAGGTTCTGGTCATTTGGACTACAAATCTTCAGTGATTAATCCCCAATCCTCCTAATTTCCCTGAGCACTCTTAGTTAGATATGGACTTGTTAATGCAATCAACTCAAAATCCTAGAGCTATAATTAAACATATCATGTAAAAAAATTAAATCAAAAAACAAGAGCTCTTATTATTGAAAATATCTATTTATATTGTTACATCCTTTTAAGAGAGTCAACTTTTAAAATATTATTTGGTATATCATTTATTTGGTTCTACTTGACTAACCTTTATAATTAACAATGTTTTACTTTTCAGTTCAATCTACGTGATTTTGAAGCTATGTTGTTTCAACAGCCTGATATTTGTTATTACATAGGTATAATATATGATTATAGCCCGTGTCCTAATCAAACCCTGTATAATAGAGTCAGGGTTACTAACTGGCTAGAATTGTTTAGTAGATTAAATATGTAAGTATAGTATATGATAAACCTGGGGCCTTATTTTCGAAAACTTAACTTAAAATCTGTTTAAGATATAGTTTTCTTATCTAAACAGATTACTGTATTCCTTAAAATCTGGATTTTTATCTCAATTAAGTTTTTGGGAATAAGGCCTCTGGTCTTCACAGATTAGTCCGTTTATCAAATTTTGCTGATTTATTCGGAACTTACCTATGAATTTGCAAAGACTGTAACGGACATAACTCTATGTATTGGCTATCAAAAATTGACTATTCTCAAAAAAGGTTGAGACCTACTTCAGTTGTATTGAAAGTCAACAAATATGATCCATTCAGGTTGCAAAATTTCCCTTTATATCATAGTAACTTAATATCCATCCTTAAAATCATTTCAGTAGGAAGTAGAGTAGCGTAAATAGTAATGTGGTCAACTCTATATTTGTTTCAGTGATTTTGTGAGATGTATGGATTTTGTAGAAACAAGTTGGTACAGAGTCGATGCTAATACGTATCCATGGAAACGAGATATATACAGAATGCAAGGTAATGTTTAGTACATTCATAGAGGTATTTTGCAATTTTTAAAGGTGAAAATGCAAGAACTATTTCGAGGCAAAATGCTTTTCCATGTGATTTAGGCAAAACAAAAAAACAAAAAAATTTTGCTATTCTAGAATTTATTTTTTGTCAATGCAAATTACAAGAATTTATTGGGGTAAATAATTTCCAGGTTTAAATGAGAATGGTAGTAAATGGGAGATGATAACTGATATACCATGGATCAGAATGTTATCTCAATGTCCAGATATTAAACATCATAATCAAGTTGCTGACGATTTTAAAGGTGAGTTCTTCAGACAAAAACAATATTGTATAAAATCCAGATTCAAAGATATGTTGTAATCTGCAATAGATTCATTTATAATCAATTTTATTAATGGATCAGATAAACAAATATTTTGAAACTCAGTATTTAGTTTGTAATTCCAAATATTCGTTACAAAAATCACCCTATTTCCAATTATATTTCTTGACAAAGTAAAGTGATCATTGGGAAAAGAGTTCGACCAAATTATATGATAAAAACAAAAGGGTAAGTAGAGTTTAAATTGTATATAGCTTTACAACTTCATCTTAATTACAATTATCTTTCAGCTGGACTTTACTGTCAAGGGGCTAAAGGTCATTTCAATAAGGAAGATGCAAGAGACGGTATCGTTTTTGATCTTGCTGAATTCCAGGATGCAAATCAGACATTTTTTATAAATAATATTATTGTGTATTTTAATATGTGTGATACTTCAGGTGTACCAACACCAGATTTCTATTTGTAATAAATTAGTTGAAAATATTGTGATTTATTCTTCATTGACAAGAGCTCAAGAGCTGTCAAATTTTGACATGCACTTCAGTTATATAACCCATCATCAGGAAGGTTATTGGGAAGTGAGTTATATCGTGGCTAACTTGGGTCAGTTATACTCGGCAAAAAAGCTCAGATCTGAAAATCAAATAACCCATTACATCAAGAGAAAACTGAAATTGACATCTTGGGTATTACATTGATCCAAGTAAGTACATTACAATTGTTAAACTAAAACTAAAATACTAATGTTTCTTACACTTTTATTCATATATAATAAACCCCACCATTCTCATGTGCACCATACTCTCACAGATAACTCTAACATAGTTCCTTCAGACGACAACTATATCACTAGCAGACAACATAAATTAATTGAATCATTATATGGTTTCCAGTCCACATTTCTAACTGTTGAGAGATCTTAACATATTATGCAACCTGTAGCACATAGATCTCAGTTTGTTGTCGCATCCAGGCGAAGAATATAGTCGTGTCCATGTCAACCCCTACGACCTGCATCACAGAAAGGTTGAAGAATTTGAAGGAATTATCTCAACCTATGCTGGGATTGAACCCTGGACTTTGAACTCACTGAGCAAGAACACCACCCTTTAACTTGTTAAAATTCCAAACATCCATTTATAATGTATAAAGAGGAGTATGTGGGGGACCATCTCGATGAACTTTTAAATGAGAACTGAGATTATTCATTTCAGTAAAAGACTTATCACACACACCACATTTATATGGTTGAGCAGCAGAATGTATTACTATATGTTTATCTAAATTTCCTATCGTAGAAAACTGCTGTTCACAATAGTTACACTGAAATGGCTTTTCTTTTTTATGACATCGTTTATGAGAGTTTAAACTACGTAGAAGACTATATGATTTATCACAAACATCACATTTGTAAGGTCTTGCATCAGGCTTATTTTTTGTAGATTTAGCTTGGCTTTCATTGGCTTGCTCTTTCAAATGTATGTCATCTATAATAACTACTTCATCTGAGTCGCTAGTAGATTCAGCTACATTGATCTGCTCTCGCAGATTTGTATCTGGCTTTATGATTTCGCCTGTTACTATTGTTGTTGGCTTATATAAATGCCTGGAACAGTGCGCTACAATGCTCTGCTCTGTCAAATTTGTATCTGCCCTTGCAATGTCAACTATTGTTGCCGCTGGCTTGTCCAAATTTCTGGAACAGTGTGCTATAATGGTGTGTTCTTTAAATCTTATATCCACCTTTGAAACACCATCCATAATAACTGGCCCATCTGAATTCAAATCTTCTTCAGCCCTTTGATTATTATGAAATATAGGTAGGATTTCACTTTTGTCTGTTGTAGAGTCTTCATGAACTATCATTTCATCAGTTCTAATTTCCTCACGCTCACAGTTTTTCTCCATGACTTTATTGCCTTCCATCTTTGAACCATAGTTATTTTGAAAAGATTTTGGATTATTCCACAGGTAGGCCTAGTTTCCACAAAACAGAATTCAATAGATGTGTTTAAACCCAAACAAATGCCATGGACTAGCTAATAGGCAGGATTTTCAACAAATTTTGTAGTTATCTTGTCCTTTTTTAGGACATTATCCTTGTTGTTTATGGATGCCATGGATCGTCTTGTCAATCACATTACCACATTTTTTCTCCTTCATACATTTATTTTCAACTATTTTTATCCTTTATCTGAGTGCCTCAATACTAAACTTCTGTCAAGGTCTGTCAGTCATAGCATTACCGGAAATTGATAACAAGACAAAGGATTGAAAAATTGAGATTGAATCAATGTGTTGGGGCAAAACTAAGACACACACTTTGTCGATTTCTGTTCATTTCTGTTCTAAATTGAATTTGGTTTGCGTTAGTTACATCAATTGTTTACGTTTTCAATCATTTCAAAGATAAATTTGATCGGCAAAATGTGAAGTAATTTTCTTAAAACGTTACCAAAACATAAACAAATACGGGTATAATGAGAACGTGGCGATTCGTACCACGGGGACGATTCGCACCACTGAACGAAAACGCTTTTACTTAATAAAGTTCGCGTCTGAGACTGCAGTTTTAAAGTTTCTATCATATAACTCTATTTCAATGTGTATAGTACACTAAATATATAGAACGCACCTGTATATAGTACGCATCTGTGTAGACACCAGTATAGTACACAACTGCACACACCAGTTTATAGTGCACATTAGCATATAGATAGTACACACGTGTATAATACACACCAGTTTTAGTACATATTTGAGGATAGCATGCGTCAGTATATAGTAAGCATCCGGTTATAGCATAGGCTACACACTGTATATTATTACACTCAAGTCTATATTACACACCCTGTAAATATTACACACCAGTAAATAGTACACCCTGTATATATTATACACCCTGTATATATTACAAACCAGTATATAGTACACACCCTGTATATATTACACACCAGTCTATATTACACACCCTGTCTATATTACACACCAGTAAATAGTACACATCCTGTATATAGTACACACCCTGTATATATTACACATTCTGTATATAGTTCACACCCTGTATATATTACACACCAGTATATAGTACACACCCTGTATATATTAAACACCAGTATATATTACACATCAGTAAATAGTACACATCATGTATATGGTACACACCTTGTATATATTACACACCAGTATATAGTACACACCCTGTTTATTACACACCAGTCTATATTACACATCCTGTCTATAGTACACACCCTGTATATATTACACACCCTGTATATAGTTCACACCCTGTATATCTTACACACCAGTATATAGTACACACCCTGTATATATTAAACACTAGTATATAGTACACACCAGTAAATAGTACACATCATGTATATAGTACACACCCTGTATATAGAACACACCCTATATATATTATACACCAGTGTATATTACACACCCTGTAAATATTACACACCCTGTATATAGTTCACACCCTGTACATATTACACACCAGTATATAGTACACACCCTGTATATATTAAACACCAGTATATATTACACACCGTGTATATATTACACACCCTGTATATAGTACACCCCCTGTATATAGTACACACCAAGTATATATTATACACCCTGTATATAGTACACCCCCTGTATATATTACAAACCCCGTATACATAACACATACACCCTGTATATAGTACACCCCCTGTATATATTACACACCCTGTATATAGTACACCCCCTGTATATATTACACACCCTGTATATATAACACACCCTGTATATAGTACACCCCCTGTATATAGTACACACCCTGTATATAGTACACACCTTGTATATAGTACACACCCTGTATATATTACACACCTTGTATGTAGTACACACCCTGTATATATTATACACCCTGTATATAGTACACGCCTGTATGTAGTACACACCAGTATATAGTACACACCCAGTATATATTACACACCCTGTATATATTACACACACAGTATATATTACACACCCTGTATATATTACACACCCTGTATATATTACACACCTTGTATATAGTACACACCCAGTATATATTATACACCAGTATATAGTATACATCCTGTATATAGTACACACCCTGTATATAGTACAATCCCTGTATATATTACACACCCTGTGTATATTACCCACCCTGTGTATATTACACACCCTGTATATAGTATACACCCTGTATATGGTACACACCCTGTATATAGTACACACCCTGTATATAGTACCCTGTTTATTACACACCAGTCTATATTACACATCCTGTCTATAGTACACACCCTGTATATAGAACACACCCTATATATATTATACACCAGTGTATATTACACACCCTGTAAATATTACACACCCTGTATATAGTTCACACCCTGTATATATTACACACCAGTATATAGTACACACCCTGTATATATTAAACACCAGTATATATTACACACCGTGTATATATTACACACCGTGTATATATTACACACCCTGTATATAGTACACCCCCTGTATATAGTACACACCCAGTATATATTATACACCCTGTATATAGTACACCCCCTGTATATATTACAAACCCTGTATACATAACACATACACCCTGTATATAGTACACCCCCTGTATATATTACACACCCTGTATATAGTACAACCCCTGTATATATTAAACACCCTGTATATATAACACACCCTGTATATAGTACACCCCCTGTATATAGTACACACCCTGTATTATATTATACACCAGTATATAGTATACATCCTGTATATAGTACACACCCTGTATATAGTACAATCCCTGTATATATTACACACCCTGTGTATATTACCCACCCTGTGTATATTACACACCCTGTATATAGTATACACCCTGTATATGGTACACACCCTGTATATAGTACACACCCTGTATATAGTACACACCCTGTGTATAGTACACACCCAGTATATATTATACACCCTGTATATAGTACACCCCCTGTATATATTAGACACCCTGTATATATTACATACCCTGTATATAGTACACACCCTGTATATATTATACACCATGTATATAGTACACACCGTGTATATATTACACATCCTGTATATAGTACACCCCCTGTATATAGTACACACCCAGTATATATTATACACCCTGTATATAGTACACCCCCTGTATATATTACACACCCTGTATATAGTACACACCCTGTATATAGTACACACCCTGTATATATTACACACCCTGTATATAGTACATCCCCAGTATATAGTACACACCCTGTATATAGTACACACCCTGTATATAGTACACACCCTGTATATAGTACAAATTGATTTGTAAATGCCTTTTTTGTTTTAAAAACAGACAAGGCCTCCAATGTTACCAAAAAAAAAATATTTAGAAATATAAAAATTTATTTTTAAAAATCTGTTAGAATAATGGAACAAACAAATTTATATGAAATTATTTTTTGAGAAAGTTCTCAGAACAGCTCATAATTACTCCAGGCCTTCATGATAGCTTTAAGCAACACATTACAAAACATTAACAAAAGAAACTGTAAAAAGGCTTTTAATAAGGAAGGTTTTATCCATTCCCAAACTGATGCAGGCTTTGAAAGATATTTTCAATTGGTATTAAAAGTTTGCTCTCAAAGCATCAAATGAGTTAGTTAAATAAAAATATCCAAGATACAGTCATCAAAATGAAGATTGAAAGTAAAGCTATATGATTTGATATGTTTTAAATCTGAAGAAATATTAAAGTATTAATAGTATATAGTCACAGGGATGAGTTTGAGACAATACAATATTATTAGGAGAACATGTTTATTAATATTTAACTAAAATAATCCAGAAAACACAAAATATGCTAATCATTGTAATTAAGTTCTTTATGATCAAGGCCTGTTCTTTCAATTGCGATTTATTTTTTTTATTTTTTCAAGGAATTTTATGATTTCACAATATCAATATTATCTATGTATCTATGATCACTTCAATCATTAAAAAAAAGCTTGATAACAGAAATAAATCTGTACTAAATAATTAGACAAGATGATGTAAATATCAACTGAAGCAAGTTTCAAAACTAAATTAAGCATAAAAATAAAAATTGAAATACTTAGAGATATAAAAATAAACACCAATACATATATACAAGTTGTAAAATCACAGGTTAAAGCAACAGTTATGTCAAAATATCAATTTTTCTCTCAAATAGGTTTAAGTAGATTCTGATGTCAAAAACTTCAAAAATATTGTGTGACCTATAGATAGGCCTACATGTTTGATCACACAAACATTAAGTACATTTAAATAGTAAAAATATTTAAAAATGATAAAGTTAAATTTTTTTTAGACATTAAGTAGATTTTTTTAGAAAATTTTCAAAATAAAACATTGTATTTTTTATCATACAAAACTTCTATTGAATAAAAAGTCATGGAATGTGTAGAAGACAACTAAAGTATCTTTGTTGTTAAAAAAAAATTGAATTTTGAATGAGAAATACAGGCTTTGAAGTATTATAAAGGTTTTAACCGAAAAATTAAAGGAGAAAACCATTTCTTATGGTTTAATTGAATTTTGGAATTCTATTTTCATTCAGGATTTAATCTAATTTGTTTTTACAGTAAATTAGATTTTATAAAACAATCCAAAATCCAAAAGAAACCAATTTCGTCAGGAACGTATTTCTCATTCTTTCCTCATAGCTAATACATCAAAATAAAATAAAAGATTAGTAAACACTATTATGCATTATTCTAATAATAAACATAATTCTTAAAATACAAAAGTTAACGATGGTCTGAAATTATTACCTCCCTTGTCTCTAAACTAACAATTGGGAGGAATATCTCACTGGGAGATTCTTAAGTTACATTTTAACTTTAATGGCATCATTTTCAAAATCTCCTTCCTCTACTGGTTTGTTGTTATCACCAAATGTATGTAGGGTAGGTTTAACATCTCCAATACACTGATTACTGTAAGAAACCATGTTGGTGTTCATATAGGTCTGGTTGGATACTCCAAATGGAGGTGGGGGTGTGGACTGAAAAAAAAAATGATAAGAGTTGAGTTTTATAGCCTATACTTTTGATACTGACTGAGCCACAATATAATCTAAGCCATTAAGTAAGCAATGAATAACATTGTACCAAGGCAGCTTCATTAGTCTGCTCATTTTCCAACTAAAATAATAAATACCATATGATAGGTGTGATAGATAGAATAAAAAACACACAAAAATATAACTCACTCTATCTGAATTCATATCAGTAAAAAATGTATCTTTAATTTCTTTTTTCTCTTTCTTACGACAGCAGCAAGCCTGTAATATCAACAAATCATAAAATATCTATAACTATAGTTGAAAATGTGGTGATTCCAAAAAGAAAAAGCAGGCAGTAATAACAAATCACAGAAGACTTTTTGATGGGTTCACCAATACCACTAGTAGTTCAGCGATTCATTTGATGTATACTGAGAGTTGAAAATGGTCACAGTAAAATGATACCATCAACTGGCAAGTGGCTAGCTGAAGGTTCTATGGGGTGGGGGCTTAAATCTTGCAAGAGGAAGAGGAGGGGATGAAATATTTCTCAGGGAGGAGCTTCTGGTCGAACTTCTGAACAACATCGTAAAATAGTATTTTTTTCAACTACATATATACATTGTCAAAGAAAAGCTAAAATGTTTGTATATTAAAATTGGAATTTAATATTTACTTAACTGTTCAATTAGATATATAATATAAAAAGTAAACTAAATGAGAAAATAAACTTAGCTCAAATTTGAGAATCATTAACAATAGTCAAAATAAAGAACAAAGTAGAATACTAACCCAAACAACAATAGCAATAATGGCGGCTCCAAACACACCACAGATAACTGATATAACTATAATTAGTTTATCATCCATTCCAGAATCTTCTGGGGTAGGAATGGGTTCTTCTTGAGATTCTCCAGTTTGTTTTTCATATTTAGTATCTGCTTGGAAATATTCAGAATCGGCTGTCCATTTCTCTCCCTTCCATTCTATTACAGAATCATTTTGTAGAAGCTGAAACAAGGGTAAGATGCCATTAATATGCTTAATTGAAATATATTAGTACATTTTACATTATTGTCCACAGACAATGTCACTGATCCAGAAAAGAAATCCTCAATAGTTCTGTTAGTGGCCTTAGTCAGTGGTGCTTTTAAAATCATTTGGTGAAGGGCAGAGGTCTGAGAGTAGGTGGGACACACAATTCTTTCTCTATGTTAAATCCTACGAAATATGAAAGGCTAATAAAGGAAGTTAGCTAGGTCATCAAACAAGAGTTTCCTAAACAAGAGAATATTCTGTGGTATGAAAACTAGTGTAATATGAGCTCATCTCATACTGATAACACGTTTGGATAGAAAACCCCTTAATAAGTTTTGTTAACCGGTACATACCCTATTTTGAACCATGTCAGGTATCATACCAAGAATGGGAGCAGGTTGTTCCTCTTCTTCACTACCAAATTTAGTCTCAACTATTATACTGCCAGGTCTGATCTACAAAACAAATAATTTCTATTATAACAGTTTTACACATAACCTTACTCCTCTAACATTAATATTAATAAAAATGATAATAATATAATAATAATAAATAATAATAGTAATAATAATAATAATGATAAATAATAATAATAATAATAATAATGATATAATAATAATAATAATAATAATAATAATAATAATAAATAATAATAATAATGATAATAATAAATAATAAACAATAATAATAATAATAATAGTGATAATGATAATAATAATAATAATAATAATAATGATAATAATAAATAATAATAATAATGATAATAATAAATAATAAATAATAATAATAATGATGATAATAATGATTATAATAAATAATAATGATAATAAATAATAATAATAATAATAATAATAATAAATAATAAACAATAATAATAATAATAGTGATAATAATAAATAATAATGATAATAATAATAATTATAATAATAAATAATAAACAATAATAATAATAATAATAATAATAATAATAATGATAATAATAATAGTGATAGTAATAAATGATAATTATAATAATAATAAATAATAAATAATAAATAATAAATAATAAACAATATTAATAATAATAATAATAATAATGATAATAATAATAGTGATAATAATAAATAATAATAAATAACTAACATAATACATCGAGACAAATAACACATATACAATGTAATAGCTTAGCTACATTTTGTAATAATCCTATAATTACTCTAGAGAATAGGCCTAGTAATTGTCTTCTTTCAAACATTCTGATCCCCCTATTTTCTGAGCCAGAGGTACTGTTTTTAGTTTATTTAATTGAAAAAGTGGGTGTTCAATCAGAAAGATATCAACATAATATTCCTCAGATTTGACCTACATATATTGTTTAATTGCGAATATAGTGCACATCATTTCTAACCATCAAAAAATCTCTACTAAGTAATGTGTTCCGCGTTTATGATGATTTAGAAACTGTAACTTACTGTGATTGATTTGACATAGTCATCTAAGTTCCATTTCTTCATTAGTTCTAACACAGCTCTATAAAATATATATATCAAATATTACATATTATATCAAAGATGTCTATTGTTAAACAGATAATATTTAAGGGCATGGTAATTTCATCAAATGTAATTGTAAACTTCATGAAATTCATCCATGTTTGATAATATCAAATGTTACCATGCTGAAAATAGGTACGAAATCTGTCAAAGGTCAAGGCCAGCTTGTTGACAGTATCCTCGTGAAAGTAACAAGATTTTAAATATCTCAATGTAACTAATGTCATTAATTCAGAAACAAATATATACTTACTCTTCAAATTCTCCCAAATTATTTTCTACCTCGGAGAAATCTTTCTGGAATTTCATTTGAACTGTTACTTCTAGAGTTTCATTTCGCGCTATAAAAAATAGCAAAAATTCTCGTTAGAATCTTGAAACAGTTGGAAATGGGTAATTTTTGACAGATATCAACCTGTATAGGTTTTGCTTTTTTAAAATAAAAGACATTAATCCTTTCAAGGAATTTGACAATTGTCATTATCTCTACTTAAAGCCTATTACTGATTTAACAAACAGTATATCAGAGTTTTTTAAACTGACATTAAAAGAAAATTAATCAGGACCAAACAAAAATGTCAGATTGCACAGAATTTTGGGAGACTGAGATGGCTGAAATCACATAGTATACAGTCTAAAAAAGATGAAGAGCTCACAACTAAAATCAAATTGATGTATGACTATCTTCAAACAGATATTTGCATGCAATACATTTTAGAAGTTCTCATGTGATACTGAGTGTAAAACTCAATAACAGAATGTCATCAGGTGTCAATACTACTTACAGCAAGTATCTTGAGCATTTTTCAAATCTTTCGTCCACTGGCCTTTTCCGTCAACACACCAGCATTTATCAGAGTCACATTGTTGACTGTTGTATCTACCAGTGGAATCACAGGATGGTAGTACTACATCACTTTCTTGACCCATAGACTTGGCTCGGTTCTTATCCTTCAGTTGATTACAGTAGGTCATTCTACACATTGTGTGGGTAACTACAAAATTATATCTATTATTAGAAAAAAGCTAAATATAATAATCAAATTAATTGGAGGACAGCCATATTGACCCAATCTGTTTGAATTACAACTATAAAGGACCTTGATTTAATTACCAATCTGGCCTTATGTCAATTACAGCACATTAAATACAGTTTCAATCCATTTACATCATATAAATCTTTGGCAATTTTATCCATTTGGTCTTGCAAATTGCTGTAAGAAAGCTTGAAGTGTAAAATGTTTCTGAAATCATTTTGATAATACTGGTGCTCTAACACCATAGTGATTACCAGTTGCGCATGACTGTGAATAAGAAAAGCGTTCATAAGTTTAGAAGACAACTCTCATGCAATTTAGTGAGATGTGTTCAGAACTCATGACCTCTTTCATTATTCGCAACCATATGCAACTGGTTATCGCTATGGTGTGACGGTACCTTTAAGCAAAAGAGAGACATGCCAAGCAATTGGCATCATGCAAAGTTTCAATTCTCTAACCAACAATGCTACAGAAATGAAAATGAAATGCATGGAGTTTTAAACTATGCTACAGAACTCCAGACCTAGAATATTAAAATATTTAACTTACTGATACTACAATCAGTGATGGTGGTATTGGACATGATGTCTACAAACACTGGTTTACATGTACAGGGGTCCACGCTACATAATGCACATGGATTATCATAGCAGCTAGCCTTATCACAAACATCTGCTGGACAGATCTTTGGTGTGGCTTGACCAGGACAAACAACAGGAGCTGAAATTACAATGATTGATGATATTTTGATTGGTTGTTTTGGAATGACTCTAATTTCAAAAGATTTCCTCATGTATCTTCCTCCCAGGTAAGAGATGTAGCGAAGGAAACAACTATAATTTACAAGGATAACAACTTAAGTTCACAAAGGATCCTTTCAACAAGCTGGTCCTTGGCCAAACCTTTTGACATTGCTCTTTCCTGGATTATTTTAGTTATTTACAGCCAGATGGACTGGAACTAAAACTCAAAAACCCTTCTTCAAAAACATTGTCAACACATTCTCATACATTGATGCAGGCAAAAAACACTAACATCCATTGTGCTAAAAATAAGCTTTACTGTAAAATACGTACCTCGACAATCTTCATGTGGTTTAACAGAAACGACTTTACAAATATCACCTAAAATATCAAAATATCATTTATATTATTTATATCATTAATCCATCAGATTAATGTTAAAGCATGGAGTTTGATTAGTTAACCCAAATTTCAGAATTACAATCTCAAAGCTGTAGTTCAATCCATGTTTAAATGAGGCAAATGCTTGTGGTGGGGTGAATTCAAAATACATAATGAAAATAAAACACATTTCAGCATTTGCCTCCATTATGCTACAGCCCTGATTCATCTTAAAGACACAGGTAGCAGTTTTTGTTTGGTGAAATATTTATAAAGAAGTGAAAAACACAACTTAAATTAATATCAAAACAATTTACTTACTTCCACAGGCTACTTCATGATTTGTTCTGTTCGTAAATTTCACCTTACAGTCTGTAGAGCATAAATCAACTGAACAGGTAGCGTCTGGGTAATTTGGACACACTTTATCTTGACAAACATCCAGACAGCCCATATTGATTGGAGAACCATTTGTACATACTGTAATTATAATAGATGTGATGAATATAAAGTACTATTCAGATATGTGTCAGGTACATAATCTTTTTGATTTTACTAATGGCAGGCCCACCATGAATTGTCTGAACAGCTGAATTAGTCTAGTCTTTTTTTATTTTAGACATGAAGAGCAAAAGCACTTAATGTTTATTTTCATATTTGAAGTCTTAACTTTTTGCCATGTTGGAGGGGCTAATGTGGATCAGTGACAAGAGGACATCTGACTTTTTGGTCAGATCCAAGTCAGATCCACGTAGACAACTGTGTTTTGTTTTAAAAGCTAAAATTGACTAGTGCCATTATCTGAACAAAATCAAACTGGAATTTCCAAAAAAAAATCTTGCGAGAATTATATCAGAGAGTTATATATTTACCTTCTGGGTCAAATTGAGAGTCATTGACTGCACCTACAATACACAAATATATTACTATAACAAACACCATTCAGACATTATCAAGAATAATATGTAGATTATATATATAGGTCTATTAATAATAGTCTGTATAATAACAGGTATCCAATTCCATAAAGTTTGCTTATCACTTTTAATTACTATGTGCCTGAGAAACATTGCATAAAACTTTTGCTAGTGATGTTTCGATAACATGTGTCTATATCATACTTATTATTGCTAAATGCCATGATAGTCTATCATATCACATATATTGAATGTGATATCACATGTCATATTGAATGTCATATAGAATGACACATTGAATGTCATATTGAATGACACATTGAATGTCATATTGAATGACACATTGAATGACACATTGAATGTCATATTGAATGACACATTGAATGTCATATTGAATGTCTAATTGAATGTCATATCACAAATAAATACTCTCTTACCTTTTTCAGAGCAAGTTAAGGGTCCTCTAGTAAGAGATTCAGTAAAAATGGTTCCATCTTTGGTAACACACCAACAGTAATTATGGTGGCATTGTTTATATTCATAATTATTATCATTGCTACAATCTGGTACATAAACTCCTGTGATATGGGGGTCCTCATGTTGCTCTATATAAATATAAGATAAATTTAATAGCTTGGAGAAAAGAATTTTACCTAGAAAAACATAAGTGATATGAAGTCAACATGTTACTCTGTTTCACATTATTAATTAGTTTACCATCACTTTTTATCATTCTAAGGCTGAGGTTGACAGGGGAAAGCGTTTATACATTGCATAAATCTTTAACTAGTGATTGTTGTTCCATAAAGCTGCGTCTATATATCCTTAAATATACTGCAAATATTACATCGATATCAAAATGAAGTCAAATAGATTTATTGTAAACACAGAATTTTGACATATTCAGCATTTTTAGTCTGTGTGTTGTATTTTATTTCTCAGATTTTTTCAACCACGATGGTGAAATTTCCAACATTGTAAGAGGGTGTAAGTTTATGGTGTCTGTGGGGTTGATCATGATTGGGACAAATTTAAAATGTTACTTACTGATACATTGTGGGACTTGACGACAAGCTCCTTTATAACAACTTGGATCAGTCACTATCTGACATACTTCATTATTGGCACAGGGGATTTCCTAGATAATAAAATATACAATACAGGTCACAACTATATTCTGATACAAATATCAGTCTTGTTTTTCAGTTGACTTGAGCATAGAACAGTCTCATTGACCTGTTTCATTGACAATTTAAGGGCTATTGAAGGCCTTTCTTTCATTAAGACCAGAGAACAATTTGACTTAACAAAACAGGATTAAACCCTGGTCTTTCAAGTTGCTTATTATTGTGCATGCCAGTTCCAAGGATCCCAGTACGGAACAAAAAAAAAGAGGAAACGGGAAAGATCACCTAAGGGTGTAGAGGGCCACAGGAGTAGAATTATACCATTTTAAGATGATTTGGAAGTCATTTCCTATATAAAAATCTTTTCATCTCTTAAAACAATTTTTAAGTGGTTTTATATAAAAAAAAACAAAAATAAAAGAAAAATAGAGGAATTTCTCTTGAGAAATTATGGGATCCTTGCAGTTCTTACTACAATGTCAATTTGACAAATTGTGATAAAATGCTGTTTTCAGATAACTGGTTGGAAAAGTGGTTTATAATTGCCATAGACACTATGTAAGTCCCTTAGTAAATATAGTAAAGTATACAATCAATTTGAAGCTGATTTTGTTGACTATGAACTTCATCAGTGTATGATATATCTAGATTATATATTTTCTACAATTAAAGAAGACAACTCACCATGTTCATACAAGGACTGTCTTCTGGTGAACCTACAGTGAAATAAAAAAAAATGTAAACCATTATAGTATTACACAAATCCTTATTTTAATTGAATATTTATCTTAAAGTGTTTGTTACAAAGTTACAAAATTACAACAAGTCACAGAAATTACAGATTTCAAATTTACAGACTTACATCGTTTATAGCATTCTTCTGGACGATCAAAACTATTATCATTTCCACCACAACCACCATAAATAAACTTTTCACACAGACTGGTAGCAGGGTTAAAATACCAGCGTGGGAAATAGGCACGACACATTCCACTTACTGGGGGTAGACTACACAAAGAATCATTTCTTCCCGTATCTACAATAGAACAATGATGATATATAACAATACTTCTGACATGGTGTTCAAAACATTAATTATTATGGGAAAAATTTTATGATCTTCAGTTGAAAAAGTTCAGTTGTCTGAAGATCTCTTCTTGATAAACTTCAGTAGAGACACAGAGTGAAATAGTTCAGCGGTCTGGATATCTCCACTTGTCAAACTTCAGCAGAGATAAAGGCTGAAATAGTTTTTAAATTATTCATGTATATCAGGGACACTGATATCATCAATATACACCATTCCAATCAGTGGTTCTTGGCATTTCAACTAAGTAGCTTTTGTGACCTCAAGATTTTATTGGAATTACAAGAACCATAGGTGTCTGACTTAAAATCGATGCTATTAGTGTCTCCAATAAACGGAGAAGGTTTGAAAACATCTTTATTAAATTCCCTATAATATTTGAACTCACCAGTGTTGGTTGGTGTAACTTTAATATTAGTTTGTATAGTTTTATTACCAACTACCACAATAGGATAAATATTAGTCATGTTATTAAAGGCATGTTGATATCGGGCTTTTACTGCAGCATGACGTCTCTTCTCACACATACTCAATCCTACAAATATACAGATTTAACTGCCAGAGAGTTGTATAAGGGAGGGAATCCAATTAAAAATTCATTATGACTGTTATAGCTCAGTTCATAGACATCTGAGATGAGTTGGACAATATTTGATTTTGTTCATGAAAGTTGACAACATATAGAATCTGTTCCGTGTTATAACAGATATTTGTATAGGACACCAGTCTTACTCGTGATTTCTTGGGGTTCACAAAGCTTTGTTACCTCAGAATTCATTTTCCATTTTTACAACCTTCTGTACATAACTTTACTTAGCATTTATTTAACTTAAATAAACCCAACATCAGAATTTCATTATAAATACTTAATTTAGTTAAAAAAAAAAAGGTCGATCGGACTTACCTTTAGTACAGTTGACAACAGAGTTATCATAATCATAAAACACAACTGAACAACCTCCACATGGATTGACTCTACACACAGCGCTAGGATAGGCAGGACAAGCAGACATCTTACACAGATCAGCACTACAACAGTGGACAGACTCTCCAGTAGGACAAACTGAAAACAAATAACATGAAGTTTTACTTGCTATTGCTCTGTACCTTCTAGTTCTGTATCTTACAGCTCTGTACTTTATAGCTCTGCATCTTATAGCTTTGTACCTTATTGCACTGTACCTTATAGCTCTGTACACTATGCTCTGTACTTTATAGCTCTGTACCTTATTGCTCTGCTCTGTACCTAATAGTTCTATACCTTATAGCTCTATACACTATGCTCTTCACCTTATAGCTCTGTACCTTATTGCTATGTACCTTATTGCTCTGCTCTGTACCTTAAAGCTCTGTACCTAATGGCTATAATAAATATCAGAGCCATTGCAACTCAGCCAGTAAGTTTCTGTTCAGAAGCCCAGTAAGGATATTTCTTAAATACCACTAATATCAAAGTAGCTCAAGTGAACTGTGCAACTGGCAGAAGTGGGTACAGCAAATTAAAAATAGTAGTTGCCATATACTTGCGGAAATTGCATTATGACCTTGACATGACAAACTAGCCATCTAGTCATCATGTTGTTAGTAATATGAGTCTTTCAATCATTTCCACTTCAGCAGTGAATCACTAGACAGACTTTAACCCTTTCTCCCTTAACTAATCAAGACTTACTGTTCATATCATCTGTAGTCCTATTGGATGTGGGTGATGTCATGTTAGGTCGAGTTGAATTTGTCTCTGGTGGTGTACCTACAGGGACTAGTCGTGTTTGAAATTCCAACTGTGGACTTGGTTGGCCGATATAGTGTGTATTACGCACAGCAACCTGAACTGTATAACCAGTTTCAGGCAGTAAACCATCAAGTTTCAGCATGTTTCCTGAACTCACGTTAATTTTCATCATATCCTTGAATCCCTGATCATTTCTCCAATATTGTACCTAGAATAAACATAAAACCATTATAAACTCGTATAACCATTGACCGGAATTTATTAAAATTTCAGCGGTAATAATGATAACAGATAACAATAGGAAGCTTAAATAGCAGAAAGAAAGAGAAGTTTGATTTGAAATGAAATAACATCTGATTTACTGAGGTTTTCAGTGTATTTCAATATAATAAACCCTACACAAATACCCTTTGAGTTTATCTCAAATGAACCAATTCTTTTTGATATTCTTAGCTTGAATGGCAGTGAATCCTGGAGGTAAAGCCTACCGGAATATATACATTGAATAATCTTGTACAACGAATAGTTTTAATATGAAATGAAATGTGGTGTTTTATCTCCTTTATATTTAAAAGTAGAAAATGTCACATGACAAATACCCACCTGAACTCCATGGAAGACACCCTGTATCTTTTTATCATCTAGGTTATCAATAGGTGCCCATGTCACAACAGAAGAATTGTGCACTATCTTTTCAACGCTTAAGATTTCAGGGATTACCATTGGAGCTGCAAAGAAAGATAATAATTATTATTATATTGACTTTATCTCAACTGTGATATACTATTATGTTTTACTGCAATAAATGAACCAAGCACTAACAATCCAAACCGCAAAACTATTACTTTCTATACAGATACTATTTCATTTACAGATTTTCTCATACTTTCTATTCAGATACTATTTTATTTGCAGATTTTCTCATACTTTCTATTCAGATACTATTTTATTAGCAGATTTTCTCATACTTTCTATTCAGATACTATTTTATTAGCAGATTTTCTCATACTTTCTATTCAGATACTATTTTATTTACAGATTTTCTCATACTTTCTATTCAGATACTATTTTATTAGCATATTTTCTCATACTTTCTATTCAGATACTATTTTATTAGCAGATTTTCTCATACTTTCTATTCAGATACTATTTTATTTGCAGATTTTCTCATACTTTCTATTCAGATACTATTTTATTTGCAGATTTTCTCATACTTTCTATTCAGATACTATTTCATTAGCAGATTTTATCATACTTTCTATTCAGATACTATTTTATTAGCAGATTTTCTCATACTTTCTATTCAGATACTATTTTATTTGCAGATTTTCTCATACTTTCTATTCAGATACTATTTCATTAGCAGATTTTCTCATACTTTCTATTCATATACTATTTTATTAGCATATTTTCTCAAACTTTCTATTCATATACTATTTTATTTGCATATTTTCTCATACTTTCTATTCAGATACTATTTCATTTGCAGATTTTCTCATACTTTCTATTCAGATACTATTTTATTTACAGATTTTCTCATACTTTCTATTCATATACTATTTTATTAGCATATTTTCTCATACTTTCTATTCATATACTATTTCATTAGCAGATTTTCTCATATTTTCTATTCAGATACTATTTTATCAGCAGATTTTCTCATACTTTCTATTCAGGTACTATTTTATTTGCAGATTTTCTCATACTTTCTATTCAGATACTATTTCATTTGCAGATTTTCTCAAACTTTCTATTCAGATAATATTTTATTTGCAGATTTTCTCATACTCTCTATTCAGATACTATTTTATTTGCAGATTTTATCATACTTTTATACAGATACTATTTTATTAGCATATTTTCTCATACTTTCTATTCAGATACTATTTTATTTGCAGATTTTCTCATACTTTCTATTCATATACTATTTTATTAGCAGATTTTCTCATACTTTCTATTCATATACTATTTTATTAGCATATTTTCTCATACTTTCTATTCAGGTACTATTTTATTTGCAGATTTTCTCATACTTTCTATTCAGATACTATTTTATTAGCAGAGTTTCTCATACTTTCTATA